GCTCTCCACTTCATCGTTTACCGAAGCTGGTGGCCTCAAGGTGTAGTTTCCTTTTCTGTTTGTTTTGCATGATTTGCATTACCTTACTAAGTATGCTGATGAGCTGATTGTGTTTAGTGCAGTTAACTCTCACTTAGATTACTCTGAATTAAATTCATTCCTGTCTCTAATTGACCAATGGTCTTTCTAAAATTGTCTCAAGTTAAACCCTTCTAAATGTCGGACTGTTAATTTTAGCCTCAAGAAGGCTTGTATGACCTACTTAAGTCTCTTGGCACCTGTCGCGTTGATAGTATTTCTGCAGAAAGTAAATCGAGTCTCAACTATATTGGACTGGGTTTTATTTCTGATCTTTGCTGGTCGTCTCATATCTTGTTTGCTTGTAAAAAAATTTTCCATCCAACTTACCACATAAAGAAACTCCTGCTTTTACAATCTATTAATTCCTCAGTTTTATCTTTTCTTCTCTATTATTCCCCATCGATATTTCCTGGTCCACTACTGAAACAGGACTACGTTAAATTGCGTAGGACTTTGTAAGCCATCAGTAGGGTGAGTGCTGTGCATCTGGCCCAACTGATTAACACTGTAGTTGATGGACATTTAAATTCCAGCAAGCAACCAACTACAGTAATTTTAACTGAGCGTACACTTCATCATTCACAGCTCTCCCCTTGTATTTCCTTAGGGAAGACAAGAAGAAAGTACATGAGACTGTGTGCTCGTACAACCAAGTACAAGCGTTAGACTGTACCTTACCTAGCACGCATAATATATGAAGAAAAATGTGTTAGAACAGAACTAACATATCAACTTTGCAACAGTTAACTATCTTATTTCAATAATTTGATCAACAATGTAAGGTGTTCTCGTTTTTAATATTCTTTACATTACTTAAATTTCTATTATAACACAATTCGAAATGTTGTAAAGGAGTACATACATATATTTTGTTGTTGCAGTATAGCATGCTGTGAATCCCAAAATGTACCAAAAATTATTACTATTTCTTGACATACTTGTTATTCTCCGCGGTTTTGTTGGATCGAATTGTTCGACCTCTATTGGCATATGGGCACATATGCGGATACCTCGATATTGCCTGAATGTTAATTATCATAAATTGTTTGGAAGAAAGTGAATATTATCACTATTATCCGTTCCATATCATACCCAAATGAATATAATTCAAGTTTTACTCTTTTCTTTCTTATTCTTCTTGTCTATTTTTCAGCTTAACGTTTCTTTCCAATTGATCCAACTAACTGTTTTCTGACATAATATTCTTAGACCACAGCTCCACCACTTTCCTATGTAAAATCATACTTTTCTTTATGATATGATATTGTGCTATTGTGAAGTTCTTAATATAGGTTAGCTTGTCCCTATTTTTTAGGCAATCATAACTGGAAATATGACCAGAAAGCGGACAACAACGAATTGATTAATTATTAGTATTATTAGCAACAGTAGACTATAAACAGACACTGCTTTATCATTCATTCCGAGTCTTTTTACAGCTTTTTGATCCATTTCTAGTTCACATTAATTGAATACATTTAGCATTTGTCCATTTTGAACTTTGAAATTTTATGCAGAATCACTTTTATCTCTATGATGGTCTTTCTTAACCATTATTATGACAATGGGATCCTTTTGTCATGTTTACATCACAAAGCTAATGTTGTTCGTGAGACATTTTGGAACTATTTGGTACCTATTGAAAAAATGTTGATACTGAGGTCAGTGAATCAAGATAATGATTCGTAATACTGATGGATTTTCAGTTATTGCATCCTCTTCTCTCCTCACTTATTGAATACAAGCCTGTTATTTGGTTGAACAAATCCCCAAAATAAGTCGCTCTAACTATTCTGTCGGTCGAACTTCCTTGGACATGAAACTTGTTGGTAACCTGTATTGTGAGTATTTCGTATAGCAACATTGACATTCAACTTATATGTTGTTTGCCAGTACAGATTTTGTCTGGCCGCTGCTTACTTGTCTATTTCGTAATAATATGAACAGCATCTTCACTTCTGATTTAACGTTTTCGGAGATTATTGGACCGATAACAGTAAGAGCATTATGAAACAATGCGGAGATAATTACGGGATTACGTATATACCACTGCAGTCAGATACACGAGAAATACAAGGTGAAATCCATGTGAAATTACTTAGGATTTTATTTCGTTCACTTCCTCCCTTGATAGATTGTAAATATTTTGAATATGGTTTTCACGAAAGCTTCCATGCTACTGCTCATTTAATAAAGTCTTCGATAGAGCATTCGGCAAACTTCTATATACCATATGCTGGATGTCCTAGATAAACTTAATAGAATTTATGCATCTGAAGTACTGATTCGAATGAATGAGTGTGAAATTTCGTAATATATGTAAGATATTTAGGGAAAAGAGGTAGCTTAGATGGGAGTAGGGACCACAGGAAATGGTGCAAAACATAGTGAAGCGAAACCATTTCATACGGAACTTGAGACAAGTGCCTTTGCTAAATATTCTGCAGATCATCATCAGTGAGTGATTTGGTGACTTAAATGACTTTGGAAAATGGCTTTTCTTATGAAGCTTCATACACGTCATTCCCTTTATATGAGCTCGAATGAAATGATAACAACTGTGTGAAGTGAACAATATGATGTCACCTCATTTCATAGATCTTTTATCAGTTAATTACCACCTACAATATTATACAGTCTGGACCCCAATGGAAATTGAAAAATACTTCAGCTCATTGGACGTAGCTGTGACAAGTACTTGAAGTCAACATGGAGCAAAAACAGACCATAACGATGATTGCAAAAGAGATAAGGAATTACATAAAAATCGTATGACTGGGTATACCCTTAATTTGAAAAAACCTCAGAGAAAGGACTGGGTTACCTTCTGGATGGTGGAATGTGAAGTATATAGAATTGACACCAGTAATGACTGTTGTTTCCACGGGAAGGAGAATACCTCGTGTTACTTCTTCACTTACCAGTAGTATCAAGCACAAAATATGTGATAGTTGTTTACCTAGATGGTGTTTAGTGAACTTGAACTGTTGAATTTAAGTATTTGAAAAGAAAATGATTTCGCATTTCAATCACAACCATTACTGTCCATAAAATCATCAAAACATCTTGAGTGTAGTGGAGTTAGTAACACAACAAAATTCTGAAGAGATGGAATAATTTGGAAGTGATGTCTTTGATTCAGTATTCAAGTGGCAAACACAAAAATTGAAGTGGAAATTACAATTTTGATTCCAATGTTATGAGGGTGCAAATGTTTTCAATTTCAAGTTCACACACCTGGGACATGCAATGAATAGGTGTTTTGACATAAAAAAAAGCTTCAACTAAGTCGTTGAAGTACACGTTCATAATTGATGTAAACTGAGAAGTATGATTTAAAGAAATTACCATGAGAACCAACTCTGACAACTTGGATGCATCAATAAGTTATGCGGTTTTAGGTTGTCTCTTAGCAACTTTATTCACAAAACTTCTGTGTTCACTGACATTAAATTCACGCACAAAACGGGACGTGAGCCATTACACTAAAAGTATGCCTACGCCAACAAGCTTAAACAGTGTGTCAGAGAGGAACAGTGTGAATTAAGAAAGGTTTTTGTCAATGACTTCGATGAAATCACATAGTACTTGACATAATGACGTGTAGACGTTCAGTGCGGTATACGTTATCGAGGTAGACGTATTCGTTCAATTACGTGGATTATTACTAAAGAAATGAATATTATGAGCATGATTCGGTGAACTGACTGAAATGTCTTTGGATGGGTACATGAGCTAAATGACCAACACACACTTCACTTCAAGACTTCGAGTTTAGGTCCCGAAATTGCGAAATCAATTCTAGCAATTACGATTGCCGGCCATCAGATAAAGGACATGCACTTGCGCGATAACTGTAAAGTAATCTATATTTTGCTGGATAGAATTGTCACGATTTCCTTTAATCATCAGTTGTACTGTTTAGTAGTGTGTTGCATCAGTTATGCATGAGGTTTGAATGTGAAAGATATGCACAGTTGTCGTGTCTATGACCATCTATGACCTTGAAGCGTGCATTACTGACAGAGCTAGTGGACAACGTTTAAGTTAAATATTGAATAGAGATACCTGGGGATATTTCGGTTTATACGGTTGAATAATGTTCATCGACTGGTGCTGTTAGTTTACACGCCAATCTTCTATAAGCATTTTCTGTGACAACCTTCTTCACTGACGAATGAAAGTATTCGAGAAAAACCTCAGTTTATCAACGGTTTCACTTAACGTGAATATGGTAAGCCTTATATCTTCTAAAACACCTATTGTTGGATATGACACTCTTGTTTGTCGTCTGGAATGAGAATCTCATGTCAGTAACTAGTAGTTGTACATGTAACTGAATTCAGATATATCCAATGATTTTATTTGTTTGCTGGTCGCTTCTTTTTCACATCCTATAACGAATATTCGAGGTGAAATCCAGTACTTCATCTTATTGTTTACTGACACTAACTGGCCTTCCAGTCATTTATTGTTCGTCGAATCTATAAAATTGTCCATTTCACTCTATATCATCAATTCAACATCTAAGTGATAACGCCCAATGTGGCTTAGTTTTACCTGATTGGTCGAAATTCAAATCGTCATAACATCTGGAGTCATGTCGATATTTCAAGGGTTAGTATGCAACAAGTTTTATCAATGTTTGAACCTTAGTGAGATGAATGAAATGCAAACCACTGTCTCATATCAAGAGTCTGTCAACACAAATTGATGACGTTTTATCTCTAAACAACTTCATGAACAATAACAATAATAATCATGATCATAAAAGCAATAATGAAGGTCGTCACTGTGGTGGTGGTGCTGTTGGTGGTATTAGTAATGAGATAGTTATGCTTTTCTTCTCATCAAACATCAACAATTCACATGTAGGTGTAAGTGGTAGATCAATATGATATAGTAATATTTTTCTAAATCATCTCTTAATTGATTGGTCCAAGCTCTTTTTCAAATTGTTTTGCATTTTTTCGTTTTGGAAAATTCATGTTATGTATAAAACATATATATGTAAAACATTTAGGATGCTCACAGCAACAGCTAGATTTGTGCATGGAAATTAGAGGACTGTGATGTATAAATTTTTTTTCCAAGAGTTACACTGTGTCTAAGTGAGTTCGACAGTTTCATTATTTTTATAGTTGTTTGTCATGAACTAAGTTATTAATTTTGCAGCGTTTTGCTCACCTGACGTGTAATTAACTTAATATTGTTTTATGTGGCATGTGGCCTTTGAGTTTCAATCCCTTGCATTCAGAATGGAAATTTGGATAATTTTTCATTGATTCAATACAATATTTTTAGTAGTTGGAGAGGGAAGTGGAAATGAATAACTATCGCATTAAGGCTGAAGTGTGTGATTTATACTCAAGATCATGCTACTTAAGGCATATATAGTACGTTGGCAAGCGTATTTCAACGGGTAACGCTTTTGTTTCCTTCTCATACACACGCCCTGCTATCGTGTTACGTTCATTCTTTCATGGTCGATGTAATTGCCTAATTGTCCTAGTCATCGTAAACTGTATGAATTGTGTGTTTCCATGTCTTAGCATGAAAGCGATTTTGAGACGTCGTTTGTAGCAAACTAGATTCTCATTTGAATTCGATAGTTAGTGGCCGAAACCGGTCATCCACTAGGTTTAAAAGAAAAGATTGTACATGAGCCTTGAATTTAAAGGTGGCGAAGTTTTAGATGAGCACAGAAATCGTCTATGTAAGTCAATCAATAGGGCTTTCTTCGCAACAAGAATTCAGTTGACTTTTACTAGGCGTAAACTATTCTTCGTTTGTTTTAAAGATAAGCTTCCTCCTTTGGTCGCCTCTATGTTCATCTACCAGTTCACCTGCTCTTGTGGAGCATGGTAAATCGGCCGTAGTTAGAGAATACCCTCTGGAAGTATACCAGAACGAGTTACATCTTGGTTTTTTATAAGTGAAAGAAGATCTGTTGGAAGTTCTGTTCTGGAATATTCGATTGCTTCTCAAAACTCAACAAACCCAGGCAATGTCTTTAAAATTGTTTACCGAATTCCCCCAAATCTCTCACGATTTTCCGCTTTCGACTCCTTTAAATAGCTGGGGCTTTAGCTATTTACGAACTAAAACCTGGTCCGTATGCAAAAAAATAATGTGAAGTCATTGTTTTTGCCATGACATTTCCCCACCCCCATTAGTTTCCTTCCTCCCCTTTGTTAATTCAACCTTTTTGTCCTTCCTTTATTACTGTTGCTGTTTTATAATTGCCTTCACTTTGATTAGTTTTCGGTGTTATCTCACTTAATAGTCTTTATCGTTTTAGAAAACAATGATTTCATCTTGATCAAGTTGCCTAATCCTATTACATAATACTTAATTGGTTTACCACTTTCATCAATTTTCGCACCCCTCTCTCAGTTATATGCTTACTATAAACCACTCCGTATGTTACGTAATCTACTTTGTGATCATTCATACTTCATCTGTTATCACAACCACGAACGAATACCTGTCATTACCCATTTTATTACTGAATTTGAAGGTTTTTTTGTAGGGATTTATCAATTTGAAGTTGGTATTCATCATGGACTGATATCAGTTGAAATAAATCTGGAAACCTTAGGGTTATGGGTGCGCACTTCTGAAGAGTTCTATACTAGGGTGAAACAGCTGTCCAGTGATCTAAGGTTTCCTTAGTTCCTCCAGCTGATGTCAGTCCATGATGAATACCAACTTGAAATCAGTAAATCCTCACAAACCTGCAAATTAAATTGATCTAATATTCACTGATGACTACTTTCCAGAGGTGACTCCTGAAGTTGTAGTGAGAAGTCGTCAGCGGTGGGACAAACGAAGTTGAACATAAGGAGAGTCACTCGCCGATGATATTAAGTGACAGTCAAGCCATATCATAAACTGACAGGAGTTGAAAATATGGACCGCTGGATTCCGACCCAGGGGCTCGATGGTAATGTGATTGCTGCAGAACCTGAAGGTCCTGAGTTCGGTCCCTGGTGGAGTCACGGGTATGCACTGCTGTGGAGTCCCACATTTGGGCGAGACGGCTGTGCAGTGCTTCCAGGTTCATAATATTCCTCCAACTGATATCAGTCCATGACGAGTACCACTTTATTATTATTGTTGTCATCATATAGTGTTTACTTTTCCTCGTAGGATGTGATTTTTCAAATATCATTTATATACCAATGTACAGCTTGAAAATAAGTTCTTTGGAAGGAGTCTCTTCGCTGAATATCTTATTCTTGATGTTACAATGAGAACTACTAAATTAATTCATTTTGTCTGTTTTATTCTCATATGATAAATGTGAGCACTGAACCAACTGAGAATATTTATCGTAGAACTAACCGTTTCTCATTCTTTTTCTCATCATTTATCCGAAATTGTTCAGTTGAGTTATATCCTAATATTATATTCATTTGAAAACTGAAATTCATGGAACAGCGTTTAAAAAATTCTCTTGTGTAACTTTTGGTGATACTAAACACTAGGAAACAGTAAAAGTAATTAAAACAGCGAAAACAGTCCAGTCATGATACTGAATTCGCTGTATCAGGCTCACATTTGAATTTTTCGAGGCGTTACTGTTAACACTGAACCACTTCCTACTTCATACATCTTAGACGTTTTAGGGTTTTAATATTCATGCAGTAATACAGTTTCTGAGACCTGTGTTACACAATTAAGTGGTTTAGAAGATTTTATCAACTGGCTTTATAGTTTCTAGTTTTACACGAGGGAATCAGCTAACTGATTAAGGTAATGATTTCTGGTTGCTGTATCTATTCCAAGGGCGACAAATATATTTTCTGTGGTCATGTCTAAATGATTTTTGTTATTTCTAGTGAGGATCAACGCCAACCAATTTCAGCGTGTAGAATTTTGTTTCACTTCAAATTGTTTCTGAAGAAAATATCATTCCTAGGCCTTTATGTATCAGGCTGCTTTGTACATAATCAACTTGCGGCAAACGGATACATGACGACCTAAATATCATATGAACCAAACTTCCTAGTCATCATCCGGAAAGTAAGCAGTCAGTAGATGTTTTAGTTGAAATGAATGTGGCCAGTATGATGCTGGGAATTGTTCTGGAGGATTCTACAGAATGTGAAGATGCAGGCACCCATCGACACGGAATCTCTTCGTAATTAGCCTTATTTCGTCGAATAGATTGAAAATAGTATGTGGAAATAGTTGACTCATGGGTCAAGTGACACTCTTCACTCGCTTCGTACAATATAAAAGTTCGCATATAAAAATAGTGGATCTCCTTCGGACAGCCAGCAACTTCCAGAACACCTCCACTGAACGATACGAATAAAATTATGATCTAGTTGAGATACTGCCGATAAATCTTATTACTTGACTGTTGATTTTACTCGAATGCTTTGTAGTGTGATTTCCAGATACTTCTGTTGCGTCAATCGTTAAAGTAGAATCGAAAATAGATGAAGTGGGTAACCTGATATGTATTTATGAATGGATAGAAGAGTCCTCATGTTTATTGACTACTCTTGTAACAAGTGAGTACTCGAATCAACACAAGTAGTATAATGCATCTAATATTCACAAAACAAGTGGTGTTTGTGAAAAATGTAACGAGTTTTCTTGATAAGGTTGTTTGATATTGTGTTAAAATTCCACAAATAGTTGAAAGTGCATTGTTTAACTGGGTCGCTATCTTATTTGCGTATTGATTCGACGGTAGATTCTGATAAATTTATCTACTTAGCTACCACTCAAACAAATCAGTGTGTTCTCATAATATTCAGTTTGCTTGAAAAGGAAAATGATGACTTTTTTCCTTACGACTGATTTCATTCCTAGTCCATATTGATAAGGAGGTTTTATTGTTGGCAATGAGTGGTTTCCGAACTCTGATAAATGGTATCCGTATGTGTAATCGAAGAATATTTCTAGTTACATGAAGTGTTACTAGTTATCCGTGGGTGGCAGCTGCTAGCCAAACTAGAAGAGTTCCAGTAATCCCAACTTGAAGGCGATATTCTTTCTTTTTGGGGTTCATCAGGAAACTTTCGGTACAGACAGGATTTTCTTTTTCTACTGGCATTTCTTTTCGCTTGGTGTTTTACAGACAGGAGATGCGAGACAGTGTCTCGACTTGTGTCTCACCAACAACAGTTCATCAACAGTTGCTCCTAGGACCTGTACTCCGAGGCCTGTATAACATACAAACCTAGATTCAAGTGAAATGGAGTGTGACTTTCAAATAAATGTAAGCTTAACTAGCCACATTTATAACTAGCTGAGGTATGAGGATGCACAACTTGAAAATCATGTGTATGAATTCAGCTATCAATTCAAGAGAACTCGTGGTGATAAGATTGAGTGGATCTTATATTTTACACAGACAATTTCAATTTTCATGATTTTTAGAAATCACTTAACACTTTGATAGACTGATAAAGGGAGTGAATAAATGATAGAACTACACAAAAGGAGGACTTCTGTTCAACATATATCGAGAGTAGTAAAGATAAGTAGAATAGCAACAATAATTTTTTCAATGATATGACCTCTAGTGATAGTGTTCTACTGGATATTTCATTTATTGGAAATATGCTTATCTTGTAAGGATTATTTTGCGCAATGATTATTAGTGGTGAACTAAGAAGTTGTTTTTCTCACTGCGTTGTGACTTTTTCAGAAATGGTCACAATGAGCAGAGTCTCAATCTAAGGGGGTAAACACTGTATATAATTATACTATGTTTAGTTGTGGCTAACAGCGGAATCCATGATACCTTTTCCTTCTATTTGAGACTCGTCAGCTGGGTGTTCATGAACCCCAGTCAGAGGTTCATCAATACGACCCATTATGATAATTGATGATTACAAGTATCAACAAATAGTAGCTGTAACTATTTGTTTACATTTTAGGCAACAAATAAGTGTTTTTGAAATACTTTCATTTTTTAATGATTTTCCCCTAATCTTTACCGTTTAGAGATCATATTATGGTGTTTGCAATAGTAATTGAAAAAGCTTATGATATTTAAGAAATAAGTGTCTTTCGTTTTTGAAGTTCTCTTCACATATAATTCTATTATTATGTATGCCTCTGTTTTCTGTGGAGTATAAAGAAGTTAGTACATTATCATGTATACGTGATCAAAATATTTTCTTTCTGTTGTTTAAATATGCAAGAATCAAAACAACCAATTGTTTTACATGAGGATAATCTGACATGTATATGCATGTATGAGCATGAGTAGTGACACTCATTTCAAATTAATATTTAAATCATACACGCTTTTAAGCGTCATACTTTGTAAATTACAGTGTATCTTTTTTGAGTGACTTTAAAGACCAGCCTAGTGACAACTGAAATAACCAATCACATCACTGTATTTTATGAAAAGTAGCCTTTCCAGCTGAAGCGAAGAGACCTAATTGGTTATTTTGACTGTTGCTAGGGTGGTCTTTAAGGTCACCCTCTTTCTTCCTTCAGCATTAAGCCTTCTATACCAGACTAACTGCTTATTTTAGTTTGGTGACTTGCGTAAGATCATACCTGATTAAGTTTGATAGACTTGTAGACTGATTTGTAGGTATATTTACACAGGAATTCACCTTGACTATCCTACTGACTGATGTCCATTAATAAAGCGCTTCATATGCGAGAAGGTTGTTTTGTCAAATGCATACCTTAGACTGGTTTTCTCTACCTTAATGACTTCATTGTGCCTTGCATATTCCATCTTATTAGAACAATATTGTCACATAGGCTTTCCATTGATATATTGATTTGTAGTTTTTATAGTGTAAGTTTTATTCTTTTGTTTGCCTTTAGTAGTATTAAGCCATTTTCACCTTCATGTAAACTCGTCGCCCATCAAATTTCACCCTTATATAAAAAGTAGAACCTAGAAATCTTCAGTATGACTTTCTCTTTCAATTTATTCATCTAGAAATCTTGAATTGTCTTCAAACTGGTGTGCACTTTTAGACTTATACATTCCTCTGTTTACCACTACTAAGATCACGACAGTTTATTGATTGTTTCGGCAACTGTAAAAGTATCAAATATATATGTAATTTGTAGCTTCAGGTTGCTTTTTTGTTGTATTACAGATTAGTACTTGTGCAGACTGCTTTGCCTATGAATCACAGGTAAGGCAAACTTCTACTGGCTTACTTATACATCCATATATTGTTCTACAAATAAACAAAAAGACAAAGGATGATCATCTTATTTTCCCATAGTTAATGAGATTTGCGTTTGTGTTCAGCAAATCAAATATTGTCTCCTCTGCTAAATTCATATTAAGTGAAAAGATTAGGTGTTTATAATCAAAAATTCATAACCGCATATGTCCAATTTCACACCTTTAATCTTCAGATTTAGTGTTCAGATTTGTTGGTTTGATCTTTCTGTTAAGTTGTGTGGTACTTTCATCGTCTCAGTACATCAGTATTATGTATTTCTTGTTATTCATAAAACAGTGAAAGTTTATGTCCAGTATGTGATGTTCTGGGTCGATTTATCTCTTAGTGGATTGTAATCTAATGAATTAGTTCAGGTCTCAAAATTTTCACACATCAATTCTGAGTGTGTGTTCAAGCTGATGTTGGCAGTTGCAGATATCAAAACTCAAGCTTTAGTAACAACTGAAATTTCGTAACGAATATGCTTTCCAAAACAAATTGGTTCTAATCATAAACTTCGATAAGACAATAAGCAGATATAAATTATCTGAACCCTGTAGTGTATTCGTGCAACACATTGCGAACAATCTGATCACACATGCACTTGTCACAAGCATTTATATGGGTGGTGAGAATATGAAAAGAGGTCATGTAAGAAGGCTGAATTGAAGGTCAAATAACAGTGAAAATCAATAGAGGGAAAATAATAGTGCATCAAACTTGTTTTCAGAGATGAATTCATCAATGCAGATTTCATGCGATGACAGACTGTTTCTCAACACATGAGGCTTGCTTAAACTTCCTAATAACTAAGTCCTCAACTCATCTCGGGATGCATCCACAACAGATTTTGTAAATGAAGTGAGAAGGAGCATGAACCTCCATCCTGTATGTAACCTGTCTCAACGACATGTTTCACTATGGAAGAATGTGAATACCTGCTACCAACACTTATGTATTGAGGTGATTCAGTTTGCTTCTAATTCCACATTGGATTGTGTTCCGAAGACCTCACTTGCATGGACATATGAGTCCTCTCCCTCTCTCTCTCTCTCTCTCTCTCTCTGTGTCACCACACTCACATTTAAATTGGTAGATGTCTTGGTGTGTGATGTTGTCGTTCACATGGTGTGAGGGTTTGAGAGGTTGATGATACAGACATGGTGGTTTTAAATGGTTTGACTCTAGCTGCATGGTAGGTTCTTGTAAGAGTAGTATCAAGCGATTTGTTAAGGATTGTACTGTGTGAGTCACCTTTGTGTGAAAGATTGATGAAGACATCTTTCTTCTGGAGAAATTAAACAGGATATTGCTTAATTGTGGCTTCTAATAACTTCACTAGGAAATTTCGATGGTTAATAATTTTCTATCAGTGCTTCAGTCAGTTCTTCTCTCTTTCCAAAGTATCATCTGTGCATATTCATTGAACTCCATTGAATATGTGACTAGCTAACCGTTGCTTTTACTGAGCCAGACTAAGTCCATGATAATTCAAGTATTGCTCTGTTCATATAGGTTTTTCTGTAGATAGATAGTTTTATGGATCCATTATGTGACCAATAAATTAATGTGTTCAAGAAAACCAAGCAACCGTTATCATGTTCTATGCACGTCAATGATATGATAATCAGCACTTCATTAAGTTTACTTGAAATTGAAATAAGCTGGCAGTCGTGGCGCCAGGTTCAAAAGACTACAGAGAACAGATTGTAATGGAGGCTTGCTACTGAAGCCTTATGTTACACTAGGAGCCCAAGGGAACAAATTAATAATAATAGATGTATCTTCGATGTAGTTGGGGTTACTCAATTAGATTCTCTGCTAAGTTTTCCACATGTGAAATAAATTTGTAAGTAGTATTCATCATGGACTGCTGTGGAGTCCCATACCAGGATGAAACAGCTGTCCAGTACTCCCAGATTTTCAATGGTTCCCCAACTGATGTCAGTCCATGATGAATACTACTTCTAAATTAAAAATTCCCATTCATCTCAAAAATAAATTTGTGTTTTGCTTTCGATAGAAAAGGATCTTATCTGCTCCGTGAGCTAAAAGAGGTTTCTAAGTATACTGTCTTTTCGTTTTATTTTGTATAATAAGAATACTGTAAAAAAAAAATTCTTCTTTTGTTTTAGAGTTCTAAATCAAGTTGTGAAAAGTGCTTCTTGGTGTAGATGTTTCTTCGGTGGAGAAGATTCAGTCCATATTGGTTTTCAAAGATTGCATTTTTGATAGCTATTTTTGGATTCCCTCTTGTGTAAGTCATTTGCTCGACTTTTTTCGTTTGAGTTTTTTTCTTGAGAGCTATTCATTGAGAAATAGCATATATGTAGCATTACCAATAATAATAAAAAGAGACAAAAAACTGCTGAGAGACATCGTTAACGTTAATACAATGCAAACAGTTCACTAAAAGTAAACATACTGGTCAATGTTGTACTATAACTAATGTTCACATTCCCCTTATAGTTCGTTTACAGAGAAAAGCGAAAAAAACTGAGTAGCTTACTGTCGTAGATACGATAGAATACATGACTGACAGCTATGGTTATCTGGTCGTCACAGTTAAGATTCATTTGCTGTCAGCAAGAGAAAAAAAGTATTTTCGGCACCACCTTTTTGAAATTCATCCATACACTATGACTGTCTGTTCATAAACGGAAATAGAATTGTTGATATATGGTTGATTTTTGATATGTGAAAGTTAATTTCCAGCTTATGCCTGAAGGGCTGCTCACTTGAATCAGCGTTTATTCATTTTAGGCTATCCTTCTAATTGTCTGTCTTCAGTCAGCGGACAGAGCACCTTAGGAATATCAAAAAAGGTACTGAAGCATTTTGTACACGGAATGTAATTATTGATGCCTGAAGATTAAGTATCCATATCTTATGGATCAGCACTCAACTGAATACTAATTGATTTATTTTATGTAGTCATCGTTGTTTCTTGTAATAGGCGAACAAAGCATTTGAGTAAGGGAAGTGAAAATAACCAATGGCACTAGTGAGCATTTTAACTGAAAACAGTTTACAATGATAAAAATGAATGTGCTAATACTGAGTGCAACTCATAACTATATAAACATTAGAAATAACCTTTTCAATGTGTATTAATGAAACTGAGTAAAGACTGGAGGTGAGACTAAAGTGTAAGTCATGGATGGATTCGAACCAAAGGTCTTCGTGTTAGCGGCTTGCCCAACAACTGAGTCTCTTAGGTCAGTTAATAGAGTGTCTGACCGGTAACCTAGAGTTCGTTGGTTTGAATCCTGGCACCAATCAGATTTTGATTCACCTTTCAATCATCCTCCACTATCAATAATTACAAGTCTAACAAACCATGTTTATATGTGATAATCAATAAGAGTATCTTTTAAGAATAAGGCATTTTATTACCGAAAATCAGCAGATGCTAAATAATTTAATTAACATGTGAAGTCACATGCAGAATAAACTGATCTACTGAAACCAAAAAAAGTTACATATCAAAATACACTAAAATTCAGCAGGTGGTTGGAATAGTGCTTAAATGAGATCAAACGTAAATCTTAAATTGTTGAAAACTAGCTTATCTGTACAGAATTAATGACACTGAGTATTAGAATACAACTGAAATTTTCACTTACGCCTACTTGTGATCTATGTTTACAGCTATGTAACAATTCTTCTTCCACTACAGAAATACAATATTCATTTCAACAGTCTATTATCAAAAGATCAAAAATGAAGAGAAGGAGAATGAATCACTTTTATAATCAAGAAATTACAAATGAAGAATTAATTCTTTATCTACTAAAACCAGTGGAAACAAAGATTATTCCACCAACTGTAGGTTACATGATTCCTGGAGTTCAGAGTGTAGTGAAAATAATATTTAATCATTAGCACGTAGTGACATATTAGACTGATATCTAAGACAGTTTTTTTAATGTTCACAATAATGAAAGCTCACTTTTGACTGAACTTGTTTAAACATCATAGGTTGTGATAACCGAAATATCCCCACTGAACATTCAAAAAGTTGAAAGATAGAACAAAGTCCTGCTTTTTAGCAATTCCAGACTCTATCATTACAGAACTACTTATGACTGTTATCATAGAATAGCTTAAATCAATGTGTTATGACCATATGGGACAGTACACGACTGAACTAAAAGAGTGGAACAATTATCGGTTCACTTCTGACTACTAGATAAACGTATTCGCAATCGATAATTTATGATTGTTAAGTTTCACAATACAAACTGAGGGAAGTTTCAGAGGATAAGTTATTATCAATAGAAGAATAGTATATGTGAATACGGTGGAAAGATGTTACATTGGATCCTTAATAGTTAAAACAGTCATCAAATGTGTCTGAAAAATAAGGAGTTTTAAGAAAGGATCAATTTTCAACGGATTTATTCTCAAGCTGGATCATAACGAAGTAATTCCGAAAATATTTATGTTTTTGAGCGATGGGAATGCTTCGAAATAAGAAAGAAATAGGGCGAAGAAGAATAACAAGTAGCGGGCCATATCATGACTGAATGTTGACTTGGAATTCTTTTAGTTTGATAGTAAGCAAGAGAATGCAGTGGTGATGGACGTATTTCTTTTGATTTAGTAAGAGCCTTAGAAGATTGAGAGCGGGAAAAATTGTTCACCGATTCAGATTTATTTTTACAAACTTAAGTGGACTTTACTGAATTGTATCTACTCATGAAGCTTAAAATTCCAAAGAAGAGAACCACGCTTTCCTTGTATGATTGAAAATTTTAAACTATTAAGACACATATGAATCATACTAGCTAGTTAAGAAAGCATACCGACAAAGAACATGAAGATAAGTGATTTCCACCAGCCTATTACCTGATACAACTTTTCAGCTTTCTCCGGTTTAACAACCTTAAAGTGTTTGAAGTGTTATCTGAGTATTTTATTTGCATTTTGTAATTTATCTACTACTGTCTATCATAGGATATGCCTATACGTAGTGAGAATTTAAGTTATGGTCCAGAGTGAAGCAATAAGATTCTGAGTAAGGTACTGAAAAATATCATTACTACTTTTGAAAGTAAAGTTTATTTGATCAAAGTAAGTGAGAAACTTGACATCTTAAATGCAAAGTTAGTGCCTTTCTAACTCAATGTGCCTTTTTCTAAAATTCGATCACGTGTTACACGTTTTTAATTCTTTTCTACTGGTTTATGCTCAATGATAGGCACTGATGAACCTTCAGTAATTCAGTTTTTATCACGTTTATAACAATAATGCAATTTATTCAATATTTTGTCATTATGGGAATGTGAATTCATATTATGAAATAATACTGTTACATAATTATTTTATTCTGCAGATATACAGTAAGTGTATACAATGAGCATATTAACGCTTTTTTTCCATTTGTCAGGTGAGTTTTTACAACTGTAGCAATGAGGCAATTATTCTTAATTTTTATGCAGGGCTTAGATAATCTGCTCGCCTATGACTTCAAAATATCAAAAAAATCATATTGTGAAAGGATTACAGAATAGTGCATGTAGTGTCATATAATGTGATTGTTTCAACCAGTAGTGAATACAGAAAAATATTTCTATAACGAAAACATGTTGCTTTGGAAAATTGTGATGAAAATCAAAGCAGATGTTATAAATATTTTTGTTCTAGAACAAAACAAATTCAGTGATTTGCAGGCTAAGATATAGAGTGAACACATGAATAATCAGTTAACAACACGTTACGTTGAAAAACAAGTATATAAAAGATTCCATATTATCATGTTCATCATTTGTCATAATAGACGGTGACACAAAATTATTTATCAGATAATATTTTAAGTTAACTCCACTCGACGCATTTCTGATCGAAATAAATTATTGTCAAAGAAGCATTCGGGTTATTACTTTCTCTTCATACCATTATGACTTGAGTAAACTGAAAGATGGTTAATACGTGATAGCGTGAAAGGCTATCTTACTTGAGGACATCTGGAAACGGTAGAAATAATCTAAGTGAACATATATTTCCATTCGGATAATTTAATAAGAAATTAAATTTATCTAAACAATATGATGTATTTGAGCAATATGATATGAATATTCTGATCACACATTAGCTTATCAAGTCAATTTATATAAAAACGAAAATTGGGAGGAGAAATAGAACAGTTATGATAAGATGGCATTAAAATTAGGAAAGATATAAAGAGGGAGAATGATTTATTTATCCTAATCTCGATCAGAAAACAAAGTTAATAAAGGTCAGTGTAGTGTAGGAATAGATTACTTTTGCACACAAAGTTGGTTTGAATTTGCCAGTGGCTATCAATCCCGCAGATCACATAAGCGTCCCGAACCATTTTCGTGTAAAACTTTGAAAGCTGTTTGGACTATACTTCTGCGACTCATTCCTATTATACATTTAAATGTAGATGTAGAGGGTTATCTCTATATGTTTGTATGATCACACCGACCCATCCAGTTGATGTTGGGAGAAAGTGTACTTAAGTGGTTTTAGGAGTCATTTGAATGTGAAACTCTGATCACCGCAGTAACATACATGACAGAAATGAGTAACAAAATTAAAGTCTACCCTCCAAAGTTTTACACAGAAACAGTGTAGGATGCTAATAAAATCTGCGGGATTGATAGCCACAAGGAAATTCAAACCATCACTGTGTGCAGAAACAATCTGTTCCTACACTATACACATCTTGATAAATCATTCTCAATTTTTTATCTTTCTTAATTGTAGTGATATATTAACATATTTGCTTTATTTATGCTCAAAGTTCTCGTTTTTAAATCAACTGACTTGATTAGCAAATGTGTAGTCAGATCCTTCGGAATGTATTGCTCAAATACACTATATTGTTTATCTCTTAGGTGTACTATCAAAATTTATAAATAGCGTTTATAATTTCTAATTTTTGAAGACCCCATTTAACCACTGTTAAATGATTTAATAATTCCCATTGTAACATTAAGAACAAGATATTCAGCGAAGAGACTCTTTTCAACGAATTTATTTTCAAGCTGTACAATCGTATATATATGGTATTTGGAAAAAAATTATATCCTGTGAGGAAAACTAATCACTATATGGTGATGACAATAATAATAGAGAGGGTGACGACATAGGCATTTATGATTATAATAACAATTGAAGTGCGAATGATAACAAATAGATTATGTAATATATGGAATGGTACATAGAGAGTATATAACTCAGAAGGGGGTGAAAAAAATGTTGAAAATGGTAAATCAATTAAGTGTAATGTAATGGCATTAGACAAATTGGACAAGATGAAGTCAATGTTTTCTAAAAGGATTAAGACAATTAAGTGAAACAACACCGGAAACTAGTTAAAGTGAAGGCGATTATAATAACAATAATAGTGATAAAGGAAGGATACAAAGGTAAAATTAACAAAGTGGGAGGGGGAGCTAATGGGGTGGGAAAAAGTTATGGCCATGATAAAGACAATGACTGCACATACTTCTTTTGTACACACAGATCAGGTCTTAGTTCATGAATAGCTAAAGCCTCCGCTGTTTTAAGGAGTTGAAAACATTTCCCCACCCCATTAGCTCCCCCTCCCACTTTGTTAATTTTACCTTTGTATCCTTCCTTTATCACTATTATTGTTATTATAATCGCCTTCACTTTAACTAGTTTCCGGTGTTGTTTCACTTAATTGTCTTAATCCTTTTAGAAAACATTGACTTCATCTTGTCCAATTTGTCTAATGCCATTACATTACACTTAATTGATTTACCATTTTCAACATTTTTTTCACCCCCTTCTGAGTTATATACTCTCTATGTACCATTCCATATATTACATAATCTATTTGTTATCATTCACACTTCAATTGTTATTATAATCATAAATGCCTATGTCGTCACCCTCTCTATTATTATTGTCATCACCATATAGTGTTTAGTTTTCCTCACAGGATATAATTTTTTTCCAAATACCATATATATACGATTGTACAGCTTGAAAATAAATTCGTTGAAAAGAGTCTCTTCGCTGAATATCTAGTTGTCACTGTTAAATGGTCAAATGAACTGTTGAACCCAATGTGTAAAATCACATATTTCTCGGTTATTTACCGAGTTGTTTTTTTTATGTTTCATGAAACTAAGGCGATAGTTACGTAGAAATGATTAGTAAATTTCCCTGTTTGGCGAATAATATTCACATCTTACTTCATACAGTTTGCTTCTTCTTAAATATGATGAATTGTTAGGTTAATAAACTGAAAACATTTCTTCAAGATAAACTAAAATCAAAACAGTTTTCATTTCATTGTAACTCATGTTAAAATTTCAATCTGTAAATTTATTTGCCTTTATAGTATCGCTTTACTTCTAAGTGAAAGTCTTAATAATGCTATATAAAAACAGAGATTGTTAAATCAACTGAAATTTTTATTCTGAGTAAAACGGTATCAGTTGTGAATGTAGAGCTACTAATTTAAAAAAATGTTTTAAATTTTAGTGCGTTTGGAGTTTTCTCTCCAGAAAAATATTGGTTTTGTATAATGATTATATGTTACGCAATATTAAGTGAGTGACGAATTTTATTGAGTTCTATCAGATAATTATGTTTTGTTGTAAAGTAAAATGATATTTTATCACGAGTTTAGGGATACTATTGGAAAGAAAGACTAGAAGATAATTCATTCTTTCGTGGCACAAAGTTGCATGATTCTTATCACGATGACATTATTCCATTGAGTGGCCGCGTTGTTATCAATATCAGTTGGTTACTTGAATAATCTTTAATGTAGAAGTACAACTATGAGAATGTTGTAGACAATAATTCCATATCAGACTGTTCACAGATATGCCGCATTATTTCTTGAATGAAGTTTCAAGCACGGTTTTTTCTCATAGTCATATCGTATGATTTCGAGCCATATACTGTGCTTGAAATGTCATCCAGTTGATAATTCATCACTCTCTACTATATCAAATTGACAAGCTGGCGTAGAATCAACTGAATGAGCACAAACATTATGTTATGTATGCATAGGGATGCAATTTCATCCAACACAGTGATTATATCTGATGATGTCCACAACTTCTATTGTTGAGATGCACTAGAAATTCTTTTCCTTAAACCATCTGATGATATTTATTGATACTCGTAATTTTTCGTTACTGAGCCAAAAAGCTCAACTTTTGTTGGCAGATGGAGTCCTATACAAATACCTCAATACTACTAGGATATCGATGATATTGTAGTTTACTTGGTAGTTAGCAATGGAATCCAGGACGAGAGTTTTTTCTTAATTGAGACTTTCCAACTGGGTGTCGTTTGATACTGTAATGTCCCCGTTGCTTTTCGACCCAGTATCCAACGGAAAATTAGAAGTATCAATGAACAACAATTGATACTCACCACACAGGAGGTGGCCTTCGTGCCCCATTGACCTAGTGGAAATGCTTTGACATTTGAAACGATGGTTACTTGATTCCAGTCTGAGTGGTAACAACATCACTCACCAAGGTACATCCAGCTGACGAGTCCTATATAAGGTGAAACGTATGTTTTAGATTCCACTGCTCACCACTGAGTAAACTACAGTATACGAAGACGTACTGGCAAAAATATTTGTTTGAAACTATATTCAATAAAAAATACATTGAATGTCAGTAATGCGTGTCAGTATTTTTGTGATAAATGTCGCAAAGAAGAAAGCGATAAAATAAGGTGTAATAGAGTTCATCAAGCTCACTTAGCAAAATTTGTTCGAAACTCATAAATGAAAATTTTGTTTTTTCTAAAGAATGTACTTTACACTGATGGAATAAACACCTAACGTAGTAAACAGGAAAAACGTATGAAACTATGCTCACTTCAGTGCATAATTTCTCATGTAGAACATTTCAACTGTGGTCACAACAAAACACTAAAAAAGCAAGTTGGTCTGCTGTCATTTACTTTTTGCTGACATATATAGAACATTCTGTAGAGATGTTTGAGGAAGAAAATCAGAGTAAATGAAGAATTGGTCCAGTTTTATTTGCTGTTTTCCTAAATGTTTTACATGTCAATAACCATAAAGAAAAGTAGGAATAAGAATGAAATAAATAGTTTCTCTTCGAGTTTTGAAAAAATTCTAGGTGGTTTCTATACCCTTGAAAAAATCCTGATCTAAAGTGCCATAGCTCAACACAACTGTATGTACTTCATACAACGATGAAAAATTGGGAATGAAGGAGGTTTGATATAGCCTAGAGGGTTTAGTTTGTTAATTTGGAGGTTTGTGGGGATTTATTGATTTCCGATTGGTATTGATCATAGACTGACATTAGTTGGAGGAACAATGAAAACCTGGAAGTGCTCAGCAGCTGTCGAGTCCTAATAAGGGACTCCATAGGAGTGCACACTAACGACCTCACCAGGAGCCGAACCCATGCCCCTCCTGCGTCCAGCACATTACCACCAATCCCCTGCGTCGGAATCCAACGGTCCATTTTGTAAGTTCACGATGTAGCGTGACCTCCATCCAATGTTGTCGGTGATTGACTGTCCTCTTGCTCAAGTTGGTTGGTTCCACCGGTGGCTACTTCTGACTAAAAACTCAGGAATCCATTCTGGAAGCTAGTCACCAATCAGCATATTGCTTAGGAGTTCTATACTAAGATGACATAGCTGTTTAGTGCCTCCAAGTTTTCATTTTTCCTCCAACTGACGTCAGTCCATACTGAATGTCAACCTGTAATTAGGAATTCTTTGGCAAACGTGCTTCAGTTACAGCTACGTAATGCTATGCAATCAACTACGACCGTAAATCGATACGCAACTAATTTCATTGCAATATGCATGCAGCCAACTGCTTTGAGCTCCGCCTCAAATTACATAAAGGAAAGAAATTATCTTTGAACTCATGAAACAGGAATAGTAAAGTTGATAGTGGGGAAAATAGACACAAAATAAATACGCCTATTTGTTTTTTCTGGTATACTTCTCTCATAACTAGAATTTTCTTATTCAAGACCTATAGTTATATAAAGTATAGTAACATTTTACTGTTTCATGTTTATTGATTGAATATTTTTAGACACAGCAGGAAATTGGTTATGGTTCATTATGGCCAAAAGTAAAATATCGAATATAACTCAATCATCGATTCCTCAGGCAATTAACTCAACTATTAGGATACTAATGACTATATCTGGATTGTGCTTAATCGGTCTATCTATTTATGATGTGAGTTTCAGTTCGGCAACATGTTTTAATCCATCAATTGAACTTTGTCGGTTGAAGTATAGTGTAATGCATAGCACTTACATAACTGTTAATAAATGTTTCATAATCTGTAAAAACGAATTTCTATGTACAACTAGGTTGAGAAGGTATAAATCACTTACTTCATTATTATTATTATTTGTCCCTTGAGTTCTTAATGGAGCATAGGGCTTCACTAGCATGTCTCCATTCCAGTCGGTTCTCTGAAATCTTTTCAACCTGCCTCCACCACAGCCCACAAGCTCTCAGTTTCTCCTCACAAGATATCCTCCATGTCACCCTCACCTCAGACACCCAACTCATCGCCTCCAATCGGGGTTACACTCGAGTGTATGGCCTGACGCATGATGTCTCCAGTCGGCCTTCTCAGTGTATGCCCAATCCATTCCATCTCCACTTCCTTCCAGTGCATATTTGTTCACCGATAGCTTCTTGGTTGGTTCGTGTCCAGCCAGAGTTTCCTGTTGCTTATACTCATTATTCTGGATATCTGAGCTTCAGTAACGAGCCAGTGTAGACAGTTGTTGATGAATGTCTTCAGTTTGTTGGAAATGCCTTTCGTAATGCGCCAAGTCTCTGAACCATACAGAAGCACTGACTTGGCTGGCATTGATGTTGAAAATCCGGATCTTGTTCACGCTTCATGTTGAGTGCAGTGCAGAAGATCTCCACACTGGTTTCAGGCTAATGAACGCTTGTCTTACTTTTCCGATTCTGACTTTGACATCTTCGTCTGTGCCTGTGGCGCCTGTATTTGAGAAAGTGCTGCCTAGATAGGTGAAAGAGGTTGCATCCCTTAAGTTTCTCCCGTTGATGATGATTGAAGCTTTCTGTTGTTTTTGTTGGTGTCTGTTGGGTATTTTCATCACCTCTGCCTTCTCTACGTTAAGTTGAAGGTTGTTCGTCTTCTCTGCCCCTTCTGTCAACTTGTTAGTTTTCGCCTGTAGTTCTTCAAGTTTGTGTAACATTAGACATAAGTCATCGGCGAAATCTAAATCTTCTAGGTCTTTTTCCGTGGTCCAGCGTATCCCCCTCTTTTCGCTTCAGTATTACTGCAGACAAATTACAAAACTGTCTACAAGTATATACAATTTCCTATTATTTTAGTGGAAACCCAGAATGACTTACTTATGTCATCAATCATCCACAACTTCAGTGAATACAAAAAAGGACATTTTCGTGAGTAATGCTGGCAGGAGGAAATTTGTGAAATAAGGCCAATTCTGTTTTGAAGTGATAGAGTGAATAATGGGAAATATGCAAACGACACTAAAGTGACGATACACTGGAACTGAATATGTATATCTACTGTTCTCTCTCTCTTAGTACTTTATACTTCACTGAGCCTCGAAAATATGTACAGACAAAGATTGACATGAGATTGTGAGAAAGACTTTTTATTCGGTAAGAATATATAATTTACATGCAGTTTTCCATAATATATAAACCCACTAGTTCAAAAATTAACTTATTTTGATTGATTATCTGAAGGGTAAATTGTCTAATCAGGGTTTTCTCGACCACATAGCTACACAAAATAAAAACCGAAATACCAAAACTTCACCTTGACAGATGATGGATGAAAATGTTGATTCCCATTTAGGTGGCTTCCTAGTATGTGTGATAAATAGACAGTGATTAAGTTACTTAAACGGGTTTTAAGCTAATGAACTTGCGTTTTACATGAGCACTTTGCATTATTTCAGTAAATACTGCGAAATACCGAAATAAAAACACTATCAGAATACAGACTGAAAAGTGGCCATTTGTTACAATAAAAGTGGTAGTTAAAACAATTAGTTTATAATATAATTGTTTTTATATCATACTGTCATTGATTGGGAAGCAGGTACATCCGGCTGACGATTCTTAAATAGGACGAAATGAGCATCATGGATTCCACTGGTAGCCATGATCCATCATTAACATAATTATTTTATAAACCTCAAGAAAACATTATAAAGATATAAATTATCTGAACCCTACAGTGTATTCGCGCAACACATTGCGAACAATCCGATCACACATGCACTTGTCACAAGCATTTATATGGGTGGTGAGATTATGAAAAGAGGTCATGTAAGAAGGCTGAATTGAAGGTCAAATAACAGTGAAAATCAATAGAGGGAAAATAATAGTGCATCAAACTTGTTTTCAGAGATGAATTCATCAATGCAGATTTCATGTGATAACAGACTGTTTCTCAACACATGAGGCTGGTTTAAACTTCCTAATAACTAAGTCCTCAACTCATCTCGAGATGCATCCACAACAGATTTTGTAAATGAAGTGAGAAGGAGCATGAACCTCCATCCTGTATGTAACCTGTCTCAACGACATGTTTCACTATGGAAGAATGTGAATATCTACTACCAACACTTATGTATTGAGGTGATTCAGTTTGCTTCTAATTCCACATTGGATTGTGTTCCGAAGCCCTCACTTGCATGGACATATGAGTCCTCCCCCTCTCTCTCTCTCTCTCTCTCTCTCTGTGTCACCACACTCACATTTAAATTGGTAGATGTCTTGGTGTGTGATGTTGTCGTTCACATGGTGTGAGGGTTTGAGAGGTTGATTAAACAGACATGGTGGTTTTAAATGGTTTGACTCTAGCTGCATGGTAGGTTCATGTAAGAGTAGTATCAAGCGATTTGTTAAGGATTGTATTGTGTGAGTCACCTTTGTGTGAAAGATTGATGAAGACATCTTTCTTCTGGAAAAATTAAATATGATGTTTTCGCAGTGTGGCTACTTTCAGTTGACTAATAAACTATGGTGAATACTTATTTGCCAACAGTCTTTTCTTATTGTTTTGTTGAAGCGTGTTTGGTAGAAATGTTACCTGAGGTTATGCTCTGTGGTCATGTATAGATAATTAAAGTCTCAATTACTTTTTGATTCGTGGGTTGGAGGGTGTAGGACAGCTGCAACTTTGTACCAAATAATATTAGGGTTAGTAAAGTGAAAGGGTGCAGATAATGAAGTAATTTCTTGCATGACTAGATGGGATGTGTTGATGATTGACTGTCTGGTGATCAGATAACGATAAATTCATTTCCATTTCAGTAGATTTATTCAATGCATCACGCAGTAAATCATGAGAAATTTACCGAAAGTAACCTACATTCTACTAAATTGTAAATGTTTAGCTCTTTTGTTGATGATACATTATTCCTTTCATCTGTCTAAAGAGGAGAACTGCAGAAAAGCTGCAGTTGTCTTTAGTATAATCTCATTTCAACGATACAAATACACTTGGCTTTGCCAATATATGGTTTTATCAATTTCTGTATAGTTTAAGTAACTCACAGATGTTTTAAGATAACTGAGAATTAAACAGGTAATCACTTTCAAGTTAATAAAACCTTTGATTTCCTGTTGTTATATTGGACCAAATCTATCGATCCCTGTTGACAAATGGGTTCCTATATGAATATCTTGATATTGCCTGAAGTATCACTTCGTTACAATTATTTTATAGTAGCTAGCGGTAGAATTTAGGACATACAGGAGCTCGTATTGTCAGCACAAGTAGAGTGTTTCATTCAACCTAGGATATACTTGGGACTGAGATACTGATTGAAGAAATGCTCAGTCATTTTTATTTCGTTTATAAATAACTTTTTCGTGAGATAGACAGTTTGATTGGTAGATTAGTCTATGTTTTGTCGTTATCCATCAGTTTTCGGTAAGAGAGAAATGTATGTGCCTACTTGAGAGTCCTTAGAGTACAGTTGGATCGATATGATTTGGAACTGTTTATAATAATATAGTGAAACGCGTCCAAATGTCAAATGGAATTCATTTGGTGAATGATGAGCAGTCAAAACTGAAGTAGTTAATCTCTTGATGCGACTTATGAAATCTCAAATAACTTTATTACACCTCGCTAACTTACACCTTAAAATCATCAAAGCTATATCATTAAAACTGACAAAAATAATTAACTAAATTGAAAAAATAGTGCTGCAGTTAGACTGCTAGGATAAATTGCAACCGACTGTATAATATTGTCAACTTTTTTGAATAATCACCTAAGTATATTGATGATCGTTCATTTATACATTTAAACAAACAGTAAATTTTGTAGGATATCTGCACTTATGAAGGTTAACCTATTATAATTATGTTTTGTCGTTATCCATCAGTTTTCGGTAAGAGAGAAATGTATGTGCCTACTTGAGAGTCCTTAGAGTACAGTTGGATCGATATGATTTGGAACTGTTTATAATAATATAGTGAAACGCGTCCAAATGTCAAATGGAATTCATTTGGTGAATGATGAGCAGTCAAAACTGAAGTAGTTAATCTCTTGATGCGACTTATGAAATCTCAAATAACTTTATTACACCTCGCTAACTTACACCTTAAAATCATCAAAGCTATATCATTAAAACTGACAAAAATAATTAACTAAATTGAAAAAATAGTGCTGCAGTTAGACTGCTAGGATAAATTGCAACCGACTGTATAATATTGTCAACTTTTTTGAATAATCACCTAAGTATATTGATGATCGTTCATTTATACATTTAAACAAACAGTAAATTTTGTAGGATATCTGCACTTATGAAGGTTAACCTATTATAATTATTTGAGCATCTTGTCTTCAAGTTACGAAAATTGGGATTGTCGTCTTTTCAAAGGTGTGTGTTTACAGCATCAATGTCGTCAGAAAATGTATCAGTGATTTTCAGCATCCTCAAACGCTTACAAACTTAGTCGACTAAACATTTTACTCCTTTTACGCGGATAAAAATGCGTTGTTAACATAGTTGCGAGTTCAATCAGCAATCCAGTGCATTAACATGCATCTCAGAGAGAAGTTATTACTGAACAAACTCGACATCCAAACTAACATCTATTGGGTTTTTATTTTCAAAACTGTATTCTCATACCCAATCCATAGGCCTACATTGAATGCAACTTACATAATCCTACCAGCCAATTTATGATAGGAAGCGGCATAAGTGGAAATCAGCATTCTAAGTCATCAGCCGTCAAAGCGGAAGTTTTTGGATTTTAACCTTACTTTAACGTCACTATATGGGCAGGGAAAACCCTACTGGACAATTTTTTACTTCATTTGACCAATCAGAATAAGCATCCAACTTCTGACTTAGTGACTTTATTTTATAAGGAAAACCATAAATAAATGGTGTGGCTTTTTTGTCCAGTATAAAGTCGTCTTCCTTATGGTCATAGGCCGGTCTTTATCTTCTGATTTTTGCGGCTCAGTGAAATATCAGGTTTGAGGGAGAAAAGTAGTTATTTGTATCCAGTTGAAGTGTCTCCTTGCATTAGAAGTGTTTCTGGTAATTCTTATAATTCTGTCAGTCACTTCCACTTAGTTACTTCATTTTTCCGCAATAGAATATGGTTCTGGGGGAGATAATTCTTCTTACGGAAACAACAAATATGCTATATACTGCGTGCAAGTAGTAAAGGTAGTTAGTTCTTTTTGTAACTTTTAATAACTTTATTGTTGCCAATAAGGGTTTTATAAGATAAGTATGATGCGAGTCAAAATACTTGAGTCATGTTAGTTAAGTTTAGCAGCGTTTTGAGGTGGTAATCATTGTGGACTAAATCAGTGAAAATCTGAGAGCATTGGACAGCTCCCTGCTCCTAGTTTGTTACTATTAAACTGTGTGCATCCAAGACCCCACCAGGGATCTTACCCAGGAGCTACAGGTTTCGTGGCGAGCATGTAACTATTGATCCATTGGGTCAGAATCCAACGGTCCACATCCTCCTACTTCTGTATCTCTGGTGGCATTGGATGACGGTCATGTAATTGGAAATTATCATGCTAAATAGAAAAAAAGTTTTTTTTTTTAATTACCAGCAACCTCAGTGGGTACATTTTGATTTAATCATTCCTTTATCATCCTAAATATATCTGGATCATACTTCATACTATTTTCACCACAGTTAGCTACTTGTAAATTGCAAGTAGTTAAACTTGTCATCCTAAATATTCCCATGGTACCTTTCAAGTTAGGAAGCACAAGTACCAATTTCAGCGCTGTGTAACCATGGCGAGTTGACCTTCATCAAAATTAAAATTATGTTTTGGTAAATACGATGTGAGACCCACAAATGGAAAGCTCAGTGGCGTCTTCGAGGTGAAGTCAGGAGTAAGACAACGCTGCCACCTTCTATCAACGATCATCCTCCTGATTGTGGTCGACTGTTTTATGGAACAAACTGTGACGAGCGAGATGAGGGGCATACACCGGCTGGACCGATGAAAAGACCACAGGAGAAGATTTGGAACTCGCCAACCATGATGATTTATGTCTAATGTCTTGTTGCACAAACTCGAAGATCCACAGACAACAACTAACAAGTTGACAGGAGAGGTGAGGCAGCGAAGAAAAAAGATAGGACTTCCTTCAGGTGAACCTAGAGAAGACAGAGGTGATGAAGATACCCAACCACCATCACAACCACCACCACCACCACCACCAACAACAACAACAACAACAAGCACGAATCACCATAGACGGGAGAAATCTAAACAAAGTAGTCTCATTACCTACCTATCTACCCACCTACCTAGGCACCATCGCTTCAACTACAGGCGGCACAAGCATAGATGACAACGTCAAAACCAGGATGGGAAAGACAGCAAGATAAGCCATCCTGCAGTAATTTGAGATCAGTGTGGAGATCTGCTTCACTGCATTTGACTCTGCACTAAGCGTGAACAACATGCGAATTTCCAACACTAATCTCAGTCAAGTCAGTACTTCTGTTTGATAGTTGAGAGACTTGGCGCGTCTCGAAGAAGAGCATTTTCAGCAAACTACAGACGTTCATCAACAGCTGCCACCTACGCTGTCTCGATACTGAAGATCAGACGGCCATAATAATAATAATAATAAGCAACGAGTAACTGGCTGGCGACGAACCAACCAATAACTCATCGCCCAACAAATATACCGAAGAAAGTGGGTATGGATTAGATTGAGCACACACTGAGAAAACCATTCGGGGACATGATGCGCCAGGCCAGGTAGTCGAGTTGGAATGCAAAGGAGAAATGACGAGTTGGGCATGTGAGGTGAGTGTGACATGGTGGAGATCATGTGAGGAAGAAATGAAAGCTTGTCAGCAGTTATGGAGCCAGGTTGGAGAGACTGCAGAGAAGGGAGTGAAATGTCTATGTGCTACTGAAGCCCTATGTTCCACTAGGAACCCAACGGAAAAATAATAATAGTACTAATAATAAATGATGTGAGAAAATCCACAATTAGAGGGACAAAATATCTCGTAGAACTATCAGATTGATTAGACGACTGTTTAGTTTGCTGACATCTGCTTGGATTAGTGACTGACAGTATCGTCCATAATGTCAGTTTTTGGGTCCCATTTTTTATAAAGGTGGTGTGTATCGAGGTGATAAGTTTTTGTTTATGTTAAAAAGGTTTTATACTACTGAACAACATAGGTAATTAGAAACTGCTAATACTGATTTGTCGATTTTGCTAACCAGAACAAAATGACATAAACAACCAACGGCTGTTTCATTTGTTATAGCGTGGAATCACTAGCGGTATTCTCGGGAAGATTCAGCCCACAGCGCCGAACTGTTCAAAATGGTGTTCTGCAGCATCTTAATTTTTAAGGTTCTCCATCTGCCTTATGTTTAGTATTTGTATCTGACAACATTTACTAACATGGCTTAACATCGAAGTCAGTGCTGGAGACGTGGTCTATAAAGCAACAAAGCTTTATGATTACTACATAAAGATCATAAAAAGTAACACCACCAAAAGTCAGATTAATTCTTTGCAAACGTTTCAACTGAACTAAGGTTACAAATAAACAGCTAACAGTGACAGTCCTCTTTCCCTAAGTCTTCAACTCTAATTTTAGGAGTCCTATTATAGACTAAGAAAAACTGAAAATGGCCATGATAAAATGAGTTTTCTTCATAAGCATAGCACAGAAAACACAAACACGTCAAATGCTAGTGAAGAACAAATTACGTTTAATCATGTTTGATAATCTTCGATAACAATGCTTTTACTCAATATTTGATTTACAGATGGAAGAATATAACGGGTCACATTATTTGATGACTGTCTGTCACTTTGGATGTCATGTTCTTTCGATTTCTTTGGGAGGCTGTTTAATGGCTAAATACTTTGAAAATTCCTATTGGTTCTGTTGTGTTCGATTTCTTATTGTGCTAACGATGATCACCGGTGCGATAGCATGTGAGTTTCGGGTCTTAACACAGAAGTATGTGATAAAAATCAAGATGTCACGCTAAAAAATATAGTAGTTTATGTATTGTAAAATGGGTTTGAGCTGACTGGGATAACAGACATATACTTTTCATGTAAGATATAATTCTTCAGAAGAAACTTGGTGGGTATGATGTTTCAAAATAGACAGTTTCGGAATGACTACGAAAGAGAAAGAGCTTCAGGTGTCCAAGAAATTGAAGAAAATGGAACATGAAGCACTCACTAACGCAAAAGTCTATGAGTAACTTATATATATATCCTGCGATTATCTGTTGAACGAATAAGGTGTTCCCCATCCTTCCAGTACCAGACATGACTAATTCTGCTTACCTTTCAATACCAAGATGGCTCCTTGAGACATTTGGGCCAGTTTGAAAACAGAGTGTATGACTTTTAAATGAAGTAAATTCTGGTGAAGTTTCCTGGCCTGGTGATGAAACGTCTGAGATTAACTTCGAAGCTCGAAGAACAGCAGACAATCATCATCCCCATCCTGAGCCAAACATTGCTATGCTGGTCTAGTTAATCATGAGAACTGATCAAAGAAGAGGATTGTGTCTCGAAGTGCCATCTTTCCATTCGCAAATGCCTAACTGATAAAAATCATTTGTTTTCGATGCATATTTATTCAGACTCATAACAAATATTAACATCTCGGATCACTGTTTAGAAGAGATTCTCCCTCGGTGCGCCTTCAACATCCAATTCAGACTTGTCAATGAAATATACAGGCAGATAGATGGCATGGTTGTGTAATCACCTTTAGGACGCTTCATGGCTGACTGCCTTTTAGAAAGCCTAGATAGTAGGATTTTACCAGTTGTAATCGATCGGCCTCATGTTCATGAAGATACACAGATGATGCCTTTATGATTCGTGATGTGACTAATAATTTCAAAGTCTTGTTCTGAACTTTTAGTATTGCTTATCCTCCGAATAATTTCACACAAAGACAGAGTCGAACTCGAAATTCCACTTCTTTGATGTCCATCTTCGAAGAACATGTGATAGTTCAGTCAAGAGATCTATTCACAGAGGACCCGCTTGAAGCAGACAGTTTATCAATTTTAAAAGTTTTACCCACTAAAACAGGAGGAGGAATCTTATCAATCAACTCTGCTCATGAATACTCTGATGATACTATCATTGATGAACTAAAGAACCTGCGAGAAATTTTAATGGAAAGTAGATACCCTTTAAAGTTTATAGATAAGAATATTAGGCATGAAGGCATCTTGAAGCACAAGCACATTGCTTCAAAAAAGATAGTAATGTTAAACTTTGATTTTACAAATATAAATGCTACACATATCTTTAGGAAAAAAAGTAAATTTCTATATAAAGAAAATTCTCTGGCACAAAGAATGAGGTATTTGAGCATCGTTAAAATAATGACAATTCGAAAGTTGTGACCACCATTAGCACTCCAAAAAAGGACGTAAAACCTCTATCTTTGCCATGGTTAACTTAAGGAATTGATCACTTTAGGTAATTCCCTGATAATGTAACTCTGTTTTATTTTGTAATCGTTTGCCTATTCTTCTTTATTTATGTATACTGCGTAACTCGGCTTTGTCATGCCATGTACTTTAACCTTTAGCCGGAAGTTACTAGGGAATATTGTATTCTTTTTTCCATATGGTAGTGAATATACAGTTAGGAGAATCAGTTTTGCCGAATGTGAAAACTTTTCTACACTATGGCAGTCTTCTTTCACTTTCTATGGTCGAATATGTTTATCTCGGTATTTTTACCAGTGGTTCACAAAAAATAATCTGAAAGCGATTATCATGATAGATGAACTTTCCAAACATTCATACTTTACATTGGATAAACCTGACTTCACTAATTTACAGATAGAAACAGTCTACTGATGAGGAGTTCAGTTTTAGCAGACATTTCCTAAATTCGCATCAGCTTGAATATATCATGAAAGAATGTTATATACATTCTCTTATGTGGAAGGGTATTTTTCACCTACTTCAAGGAACAACAAATGAATACTTCAGGATAAACTTTTCATCTTTGGTCAGCTAAACACTATCTGCAGTTCATTTTCTAAGGTCCCCATCAAATGGATAACAATTTTAACAACTCACGGAAAAGGCCTTTAACTGCATATTTATGGAGACTAGGAGTAAACTGAAAATCGACTTATATACAGTCAGCTTTCAAACTGTACTGTCTCATTATTAGATTTCTCATTTGATATATACAGGGATACTGTGTTATTTACCCCATAGGATTATCAAGAAAATAGCTAGTATGGAGATTAACGTCGAACAACTGAAATGCAGATGAATGAAGATAGTGAACAACAGCGATTACGAACTCCTGATTAAGGTATCCAGTAAAGCAAAATCAGCTGTTTTTCACAAGTCTAAGGTGACTCAAAGTTAAAAATTAAGAAGTTGAACAAATTAGAGGAAGAAAAATTTCCGGTTAATAATACTACGTCATTATGTGCTATCTAGTATGGAACTATAGTCTCCCACAGTGCCCAAGTTATATTCTTACATTGCTTTTTCGTCCTATGACTTTTCGTTACAACCATGTTTTAGTAGCTATGCAGTGAAATGCTGAATCTGAAAACTATGAACCTGCTTGTAGGATCTTCATAGGCCAAACAAAACTTATAACTTCTTTGAAGACTTAAGTGATTTTTCCCCAAAGATTCAAGGGTGGTTCACCTCAACTCTTAGTCATTTTGAGGGGGTTGTGGAGATTTGGAAATATTTCAAGTTGTTATTCATCGAAGACTGACATCAGTTGGAGGAAAAAAGGAAACCTGGGAGCACTGGACAGCTGTTTCGTCCTAGTATGGGACTCAGCAGTGCGCACCCACGACCCCACCAGCAGGGATCGAACCCGCGACCTTCAGGTACCCCCTCAAAATTTAATTGAACTAGTGCTCGTTGGTGACTAGCTTCGAGAAGTATTCCCGAAGTTCCAATGACAAGTCGTGACCGGTGGAGTCAAAGCCTGATGGTCGTGAGGACAAATACTCAACGATGACATTGGGTGGCGGTTTGCGCTATATCGTGAGCTAACAGAAGTTGGAAATATGGAGCATTGGATTCCGACCCAGTAGCTCAATGGTAACGCGCTGGTCGCAGAACCTGAAGGTCACGGGTTCGATCCCTGCTGGTGGGGTCGTGGGTGCGCACTGCTGAGTCCCATACTAGGACGAAACGGCTGTCCAGTGCTCCCAGGTTTCCTTTGTTCCTCCAACTGATGTCAGTCTTCGATGAATAACAACTTGAAATCTTAGTCATTTACCATCCCAAGTATATATAAGAAGTTTGTCAAGACTGAAGAAGTTTATAAACCTGGATGTCGTCTGTCTTTATCTGATGTATTTTGGACCAAAGAATATTCTTCATCATATAAAGCAAAAAGTCAAAATAACAGATTGTGCATGACTAAAAATCCATTCCAGGTGATTAATTCAGTAAATAGAAGTAGTTAAAATAAAAAGGGAGTGTAGAGTTCTGATTTAAATTTCACTTCAACAAGATTGAAGTTTGAAACGCTGTCGAGATGATGTTTGAAAACACCCAAACTTTATCATGCTTCATCTGAACAACTGATAGTATGAAGATATGAGCTTCATTTCATTCTGTTGGGAGTATTTTCATTCTGAAGATATTCCGTTTCGCTATTATGTATACAATTTGTTTGCATGAATATGAAGCTTAGTGTATGCTGAGATTTTCTTTACAATTGTAATCCAAATAATCCTCCTGCCTAACTTTAAAACGTCAAAAAATTATACCGTAGGAATTGGACCAGCAATAAAATGCAGGTAAAATTATAAAATCATCATATTCTTACGTGGAGTTATCAAAACATACACGTCAAGTTTTTAATTTAAGTGAAAATATTAACGTCTGTGTATGAAATTATGCTTTTGAAGGGAAATAGTTACCATTCCTTTGTTTTAGATCGAAGTTAAGTTTGGCACTCAGATGTGAACCACAGTATACAATTATTACTACTATCTTACGATTAATCAAAACGTCTTATCTGAATACATATTCTTTACTCTCTCAGTGACACCTCTGAATGCATCTTGTGAATAAAGGTAAACGCTAATTGTTTGCAAACATCAATACAATTTTTATCTGATATTTCATTCTACTTAGTCAACTCAAAAAACACACTTTGTACTGACTTTCAAAATAGTTCTTAATAACGTCTTCCTTGTATTGTTTGGAGCATTATAAAGCTGGAACTGTAAATAGTAATATTTTTTCAAACTGAAAATTAACTTCTAAATACCTTGTATTTGATTGGAGACCTAAGTCTTGAAGAAAATTTTAAAATTTCATTTGAAAGCATCAGTCTGTAGTATTCTTGTCCAAATCAGATAAAGTATCGGAGAAGTATGTTCAACATGGTACAGATATTACTTTTTGAATAAGAAAAATGTACTTCAACTAAATATATGCTAGTTGACAGAGTAAGTGTTTGAATATTCCCACTCTTTTCCAAGAACAACCTGTCATATTACCGGTACACCACTTGGATCTCCCTTCTCCATCTTTACATACATTAATAATCTTAAATTCACGAATGTTGTTTCTGAAAACTCTGATGGTTCCCAGGAAAAATTGCCAAAATAATAGGTCTCAAAGGAAAATTTGTCGCACAGAAGAAAACAAGAAAGCAGCACTTTTATTTTTATATATCTTTGAACTATGAATACAAGCTTGAAATTTATGAATGTTTGAATAGCTTTTTTGCCCCAAATTTTTTTCTTTAAATGATACCACTATAAGTCTCATGAATCAGATATGGATAATTTGAGGACCACATACCTTTAGAGAAGTTGACGAATGTTTTCAGTTACAGATAAACATGAATGTGATAGTTAAGAGTATTTAGGTAACTGAACAAAGAGAAAACTCATTGTGTACCATTTGATGAATTGCTAATTTGACTATAGTTATGTATTCATGAGTACAAATAAATGAGTAGACTTTAGGCCCAAAGTGTCTGCAATATACTGTATGATAGTTTTCGTCACCAAGTGGTATCAGTCAGAGAAATAAGTGTTATTCGACAACAGATCATGACTTTATAGCATTGTAAAACTTCTAAGTATGGATTAAACCTGATACTTACAGTTCTTTTTAATAGTATATTACAGTTTGCTTACTGCTTTATTTTTTGACTCCAGTTGTATTACACCAGTAGATGTCGTATTGTTGCATTCACGGGCATTTTTATTCAGAGAGAATTACAAGTATGATCTTTTAACTACACGCGCAGCTTAGAAAGGCGAGATAAAGAAAAGGTTTTCAAATGTCAATATTTATTTAGCTAATATCTACTCATGATAAAATGTATTTGAAAATTAGCCAAGTTTCAAAAAATCCTCCTGTTAGTTGTCTTATTTTTCTTCATTATTTTTAGTTGTTTATTTCAACTTTATCGGGCTTCCATTGTTGGATACTTACAATATTTATCGTATGGAACCAACTGATGGGGTAAGTTTTCGGCTGGATATTGACACTAGTGTGAATAGTGTTAAACCTTAGTAGATATCTAGAATGATCTAGTCCAAATATTTGTGGTAAATTTGTAAGGCGAACTCAGTCACCTGTCAGTTGTTCAATTATTAATTCAGATAGATACATAACATGTATATGAATAATTGCTAGGCTATGGAATATCTTTATATTGAGACTGAGTTCCCACAATTGATTTCACTCTTTTTTTAGTTTAGTTAACTGGTTGGTTTCTCTGAGTTTTATAGTATTTGACGTCTGTGAAGTCGAATAAGTATGTAAAACAGAAATAAGCTCAGCAATGTTGTTCCAAAAAAGAAAATATGTATTTCGTCATTTATTCACTGATGAACTTTTAGCTTAGGTTAGTATAAACTGGATTAAATGATTTCCATCTCTGCAGAGAATTAGATTTCTCATAAAATTAAGTACAAGTGAACTACTAGTTGGATAAGTTTATTGTGTAACCTACGGAGAACTGTTTACTCAATAATGTACTCTTCAATGATGAGTTATATCGATAAAGTGTTTAGTATTTGTAAGCTAACAAAGCATTGTTCATTTATCTTAGTTTCTTAGACCGTTTGGATGCATTTGAAGTATGAGTTTAAGTTAATCTGTAAATAAACATATCTTTCATTCTTTTAATATACAAAATAGGGTTACTGGGAATTCATTTATTGTGCCATGGCTGAGTGGGTTCTGGTTAGTGGATGTGTACTGTTCACTGCAGTCATTGCACTAGAGACGAATAAGTACGGTAATACTATGGTAAGAACAACTACCAAAGATCCACTTACAGTTCAACTCTTGAAGCATGTATGAGATAAACATTACCTAAAATAAACTATTTTCTATAACTTATATTTTGTTTTGTGATTATATATTTTTCTGTTGAATTGAAGTAAGCCTACTGATAACAGTCACAGTGGCCAACACCACTGAATACGCGCTTATCTTCCGATCTATAGACAGTTACCTTGCATTTTTGCCCCTTTTCCTGGTAAATGACTAAGCACAGGGGGGGGGGCAAGGATTACATAGATTACCACCTCAAATTACTATTTGATAACGTCTTAGAACTGTTTATTTTCTGATGGTATTATGATCCAGACTATTGTACACATGTGTATAGAATGCCGTATTAAAAACCATATATTGGTTAAATGACTGATATTAGACTGTCTAATAATATGAAATGGGAGCAGCTTACAAAGCGATTTCTATAAAAATTCCAATTGTTGTGTCATTTTATTTTCGTAATTTTACACCGTTTTACTTATTCGGTGACTAAAAGAGTGATCAAAAACCTAATTTCATTCCTTATATCTAGTAAATAGACGATGGATAAAGCCTTTCTTGATTAAAACTGTTACTTTATATCCTCAACTTTATAAAAGCTTTCCCAAGAAATAAAATTTTCTATGGTGAAATAAACTATAATCATTCAGCAGGCTAAACTTTGATTTCATACTCACTTGATCTAATTATAGCTGACTAATGCGATTGCACAAATTGATTGATCATCTATAGAAGAATTCCATATAATTCACTCTGACATTTATCACTGAGTTGTTCTGTTGTGAGAGCTGCTTTTACGAATGCATCTAAGAAGCATGTACAGATAGTCCAAAGTGGCTACGACCTATTGTTGAGGGATCAGGTAAGAAAAATATGCAGTAACAGATGGAAATATAAGGCCCAATGCTTCGTTTTATTGGAATTTCTGCCTGCCTTTTGGATGAAGACAGCTTGGTCTAAAGCATGAGAAGGTGCGGATATCAAAACATTACGATGCAAATTCAACAAAGTAACAGAGTTGATGAGGGCCAAGAAGCCATAAAAGAAGCTGATGCTGTTAAGAATACTCTTGAGATGCTAGGCAAAAACGTTCTACGAGGCAGCTGATGGCACGTTGAAGGGTGTCAAAGAGGGTGACTATTGATAGATTATGCAGATTCGGCTGGTGGCAGAATTCAGTGACCCAGCAGGTGGATAGCAGGCTGTGCTGGAGTTTAGAAGTGCGTAAATGGAAGTAGATGAAGAGTTGCTGGTACTGGCGATTTTACCCATTAGTTTTTTCCACCACTCACTATCCAGGAGCAATGAGAAGTTATCCTCCATTTGCCGGAGGACAGGATGTTGGCGTAGAAACTAACGTGAGTTGCAGGAGTGGCAATTATGGACATTAAAGTGCATCTTGTTGGTCATTATTAAGACAGATTCAAGGTGATTGCGTAAATAGTTAGAAAAGCCTTGTGTGCTAGAATTTGAATGAAAGGAAAAAAACCGATATGTTGTACTGACACACAGAAAGTAGTTTCCCTGATAGGACTAGGCCAATGCCAGATAATAAGGCCATGTACTGTATCAGTTCAGGCGATAGAAGGTAATGCATAAGAAGTTTCAGGTCTCTATGGCTGTGTTGTTGAAACAGGGAGGTGCAAACGTCGTCACCGATTATCTTGCGTCAGTTTTTTTTACAGTAAAACATACTAGAGGGAGGCTTTTGCTAGAGGCAAGCGTAGCCATTGATTTTAAGAACGGAAAGGTGACTACGAAACACGGACCATTCGCCATACACAAAGTACTGAGGCAACAGAAGCTGAGGTAACGAAATTACTGCAGAAAGAAGCATCTGAAATCATTAAGCCAGGTACGTAGTTTGATATTTTATTCATTGGAAACGAAGATGTTTTGATAGTCTAGTACATAAAATACCTTCAGAAAATCACAGATGGATGACATTTTTAATTCATTGAGTTCCTCTTTATTTACAAACAGTTGACCGACAGATTCAGAATTTTCAAGTTTGTACTACATATTAGCAAAACAAAGTAGCAGTTCACTAAGAGAAATATTAAGTTGTTGGGTCATAAATTGATAGGTGATTAAATAAAGCCACTATCTGATAAGATTGTGACCATTAAGAGTAATGTGATCCCAAACAACAAAAGGAAGTACTGTTTAGCCTGCCTTTAAAAGCAACCTTTCCATCAGATTTGTGGACAGTGTATGATTGATACAACTTTGTTCTGTTGGTTGGTTTCCAACGATTTCGAATAACATCATATTACTTTAGTGGATGTTATTGTTGAGACAGAAAAAAATTCTATACTGTTGAAAAGCCTCTTCATGACATCATAGGTAACTTTCTTTGGGAAGAATTAACTCTAGCTTGTTTTAGCAGTTCATGGTATTCCAACTCATCCAAAACAGCAGAATAAAATTCAGAGATCCTTATAATTATGTTATGAAGGGTTGAATTAGTTCATATTCATTGATACACCAAACGGTCATTTGGGTCTTCAGTGACCATACTACTTATCATAAGGATGTAATCAAAATCCAGAATCCAGTATTTATTACCTTTATATTTTATGTTCTAATGGAAATTCTAATATTTAACTGTTATCCTATTTATGCAAACACTATTTAAGCCAAAATGGCTCCTATCCAAAACATTTTAGTCTCGGATTTTAAACTGTATATATTCCAGTGCACCTGAGTTTAAATGAATTAAGGCTTTCAAGTAATTGTTGTGTCAGATTTACTGATTTTGTATCGGTATTCATCACGTACTGACATCAGATGGAGAACCATTTAAAACCTAGGAGTACTGGATAACCGTTTTGACACAAAATATAACTCATCAGAAGTGTCCAACCATGACTGCACTATTGGTCGAACTCAGGACTCTCAGGTTCTAAGGCGAGCAAGTTGCCGTTGAGTCGCTGTATTGGAATCCATATTTTCCTTCTTCTGTTAGTTCAAGAAACAGCGCCACTTCCATCCACTGTCGCTACTGAGTACCTGTCTTCAAGTCGGATTTTGTTTGCTCCAAACAAAATGAAGTATATTAATCAGTAGGTTGTTTATTTTTCTTCTCTTATCATGGAGTTAGTTAATAAATTATTTTCTTTAGTCAGCAGTCTAAGTGTTCAATTATGTACGTATATATATATCACTTTGTTTGGAAATTTTGACTTAGATAAACACGTTATTTGGCAAGAATAAAAATTTAAGGATAGTAGATGATGATTAGATGTGAAATGAAGACCGTAGTTGGATTTGAACCAGCGACCATCAGGTTTCTGAACCAGTGCCCTACCAACTAAACCCTGTAGCTGAGTTAGTAGATAGCCAGGCAGGAAATCTGGTGGTCACTGGTTTGAATCCCACTGTGGTCCAAATTTTCATTCTACATTCAATCATTACCCAGTCTCCATACTAGTCTGCCAAACCACGACTATCTCAGATAGCCAAAATGATAACAACAAATTTTATAACGAAATATTGAAGTTATTTGATGTCTCAGTAATAATACTATTTAATAAGAATAATCAGGGAATGATTTTTAAAGATAACCATCAACAGAAATATTTATCATAAATAAAATCTGAGATGATAGATATTACGTTTTTACAAACCGTTATCTACCAATAATAAACATTGGGAGTGTAAGACTAATTCCAAAATGATTAGATTGGTTCTGTTTACACATTAAAAAGAAAATAATTTGAAACAATGATAGAATAGTATTCGGAAACCAACTTAATCGGAAGCGAATTAAAACTTCTATATGTACTTAATTAGATCTGCATAATTTCAATACTTTTTTATCTTCATATACATATTGTTTTTCATAATTTCGTAATTCTAAGCCAATAATCAATGTGATTTCTATACAGCCCATTATAACGAACCATTCACTCACTGCGCTCCATTTAAATTCTTCATATCCCTATGAAGTAAACAGAGTAGAATAAGATACATTTTGGACATTATCTGAAAATCATATGAGATCAATAAATCTATGGAAAGGAAATTTATGCAAAATTGTTTTGTTTTTTAAACTTTTCTATTCGCCATATAGTAATTTAATATATAATAAATCAAGTCATCAATATCATTATTACTTACTGGTTCATGCCTTTTTATGTAGAAGAAATCTTCTGCTTCTTCTACCAAAAGACCAGCTTCATTAAAATACACAACTATAACAAACAAAACATGTGAGTGAATGTTAATATTTAATCAAACCAACAAAAGGTAGAAGCTGATGTTGATAGACGCTGGAAAGAACTGAGAAATACACATTATGAAATTAAAAAAAAACTAATCCTGAACATATAACGGAAGTTTGTTTGTAAAATTCCAATTAGGTAGAAAAATAAAATTCCTTTTAACCTCCATACAGAATTGTCTACAGATTAGACTGTATCTAATTGCGTTACGGAATCATTCCAAAAAAAGATGCTCATTTGTACCAAAGATCACACAAGCTATACAATTCTGTCAGGTAAAGTTTTCATCCTAAAATGTATATTAATCGTGAACATTACCATTAATCAATCTTTATGTCATTCCATAGTAATAATTCATATTTTGTTATTTACTATTAAATAAATATAAATATCTCAGGTACTTTGACTGACAGTTTCATAGAAATGATGGATAATGGCTATCAATGGAATCCAATACGCGTGTTTTGGCCTACTTTGAACTCGTCAGCTGAATGCATCTCCCTCGCAATGAGTGATGTTATTCCCACTAATTTACAAAATGTATGCAACTTCAGTTCTGGATCCTACTGATAACCACTATCTATTGCTATTATCAAGCTGGAATTAAAGGCGATATCGACGCAACCACACGGAAATTCATATATCAATAGACACCGACTGGGCCGTAACATAAAAACTTTAACCTAATCAACTGCGTCATATTTATATATGTACATCTCCAGTACGAGGATGTCAACAATTAGTTACGCATAGTTTACAAATGAACCTCGCCTAAGTTACTAGTTCACTAGTTACCAGCCGGTCCAAAGCCCGGATTAAGAGGGAAGGTTAGTCAAAGGGCTAGCAAACCTACCCCGTAAAACCAATCAAACCATTGAAGAAACTTCAAAGCACAAAGTAAATATAAAAAATAAAATTAAACTTATTCTTCAATGGAATCGGAAAGACGAAATGACGCCAGTTAATGAAAGCCTTCGGGAAGTAAGTTGACCGATGTGTCTTCTACTTCTTCGATGAAAGCGAGAGTGAGAGAATAGGGACACGGAATGTCCGCATTGTGCTTGAACCAAGCAAGGCTGCACTGAATGCAAAAGAGATGAGGAGGTATGACACAGAAATGATAGGCTAGAAATCTGCGAAAGCAGATGGAATGGAAATGGACTACACAAACTTTTAACTAGAGAGGCAATAATCTACTTCGATATTGTCCCTCAGACGACAACAACCAACAGACTGAGTTGTGGAGTGCCTAACATGATGTTAGGGAGAAAGAAGAAGAAACAAGACAAGGAATGGATCTCGACGAAGACATGGAAGCTGATTGTGTACGGAGAGGAAGACGGTGAAACAGAAGATGAACCAGTGCATTGCAGAGCAGTGCAGGGATGAACAACGAAAAGAGGAACTGAACAAAACCTAGATAACACTACATTGGACAAAGAAGTGAAGAGCAGTGCGCACAAAGATAAACGACACTTATACGACACACTGGCAAGTGAAGCAGAACAGGCTGCAGGTAGGAGAGACCTGACAACACTATATCAAAAATAAACAGGTTAATATCTGGCAGAGAAGAGATCAACTCCGATGAAACCAATGACAGATGGTGAAGAAAACCTAATTAATTACCAAAGAAGAGAAACAAAGGAAACGATGGTTGACCACTTCAAAATATTCTTGGATCGATCACCGTCTGCAACTCATCCACAATTACCACCTGCAATCCAGCCACAGAATTACCAGTGAACACAAGCCCTCCGACAAAAGCAGAAGTGAAGTCGTGGATGCCATAAAGTTGTTGAAATCCGGGAAAGCAACACAACCAGATGGAATTCCTCCAAAATCACTGAAAACAGACTCAGAGACAACAGCGGATATGCTCACACCACTACTTCAGAAGGTTTGGAAGGGAGAAAGGAAGGAAGAAAGGGAAGGTGACAGCCTGTTGACTAGAAGAAGGGCTACCTAGTCAAACTTCAGAAGATGAACAAGAACTTGCGTGGAATCATGCTGCTGTCCTTCCAAATCAGGCAAAATGTTAAGCTGCGTTATCCTGGACAGACTAAAAGATGCGCTGGATTCTAAATTACGACCGGAACAGGGTGGCTGGCTGGCTGGCTGGCTGTCCTCAGAAAGAACAAATCATGTGGGAATCAAATTGTAACGCTACACTACACGCGACCATAGAACAGAACATATAATCCCGGTCAACTCTCTACCTTACACAGACTTCATCAGATTTGAAGAGGCCTTTGACAGCGTCCACCGAGAAGTAATTTGCCAAGCAGCTGCTTCAACACTACGGTATTAGTGCCACAAACATTTATAAACATCATTCAACAGCAGCTATGTGCAACATGATACTACATGCCAAGTGATTACCAGTGGGAAGCTCAGTAATGCATTCGAGGTGAAGACAGGAGTAAGACAACGCTGCCACCTTCTATCAACGATCATCCTCCTGATTGTGGTCGACTGTTTTATGGAACAAACTGTGACGAGCGAGATGAGGGGCATACACCGGCTGGACCGATGAAAAGACCCCAGGAGAAGATTTGGAACTCGCCAACCATGATGATTTATGTCTAACGTCTTGTCGCACAAACTCGAAGATCCACAGACAACAACTAACAAGTTGACAGAAGAGGTGAGGCAGCGAAGAAAAAAGGTAGGACTTCCTTCAGGTGAACCTAGAGAAGACAGAGGTGATGAAGATACCCAACCACCATCACAACCACCACCACCACCACCACCAACAACAACAACAACAACAAGCACCAATCACCATAGACGGGAGAAATCTAAACAAAGTAGTCTCATTACCTACCTATCTACCCACCTACCTAGGCACCATCGCTTCAACTACAGGCGGCACAAGCACAGATGACAATGTCAAAGCCAGCCAGCATCGGAAAAGCAAGACGGACCTTCGTTAACCTGAAAACGGTATGCAGATCTACAGCACTGCACTCCACCACACTCAGCATAAAGCGTGAACAACATCCGAATTTCCAACACAAATTCAGTAAAGTCAGTACTCCTATTTGATTGTTAAGAGACTTGGCGTGTCACGAAGAAGAACATTTCCAACAAACTACAGTCACTCATCAACAGCTGCCACCTACGCTGTCTCGATACTGAAGATCAGATGACCAGGATAAAAAGAATGAGCAACAAGTCACTCTGGCTGTCGACGAATCAACCAACAACTCATCGTCCAACCAATATGCAGGAGAAAGTAGAGATGGATTGGGCATATCCCCAGAAGGGAGACTGGGGACATCACATGCCAGGCCAGACCAGATCGTCGAGTGGAATCCAAAGGGGAGACGATGATTTTGGCGTTTGAGGCGAGGGTGGCATGGAGCAGATCATCCGAGGAGGAAATGAAAGCTAGTGGGCAGTCGTGAAGCGAGGTTGGAGAGACTGTAGAGAAGAGAGTGAAATGGCTATGTGCTACTGAAGTCCTATGTCCCACTAGGAAACCCAGGGAGAAATAATAACAATAATAGGTTATAAATGAATGATAAAACAGATTTTTTAGGTAGACTAAAGTGAACCTGATGACAGTAGACAGCCAGTTATTGTATTTAGCTACTGAAAGTTAATTCATACATCTTTGCCACTGACTAAGCACCTGTTTTTTGATTAGGTTAAGAAAACATTCACTCAGATAAATTTAAGTTTAGATACCTTTGAATTCTATCGATAGGAACAGATTCATTGTCAACACAGTAGGTCAAGTGACCAGATTCATTATTTCACCACCTAATCCACTCAGTTTCATCTCAGGTGATTTTCACTAGACCGAAAAAGCATTTTCTCGGTGTAATGGCTACAGAATAAATAGTAAAAATAGTCTGACCACTTTTGTGAATAAAATCTTTGCTGTGTACTGTAAGATAACTGCATATGGAACTATTGTATGTTGAGTTAGATTTTTCCTTTAGGAATCTCACTTTCACAATTAATAGTAGAAAAAATACGTTATTTACACTGAGATTCAACGTAAGACAGCTAGGATCAATCATTAGGAACATCTAGTCCTCTTTTCATGCTTTCAAGTGATAAAAACTAGGTATGACTGAAAACCGGATGAATAAGTTACTCCATCAAAGTTAGAGTTGTGCGTCGCTAAACTTATCAGTCAAAGGTGTCAAAAGGTTGCAGCTATTACAACTGTTAGTTGTTCTTCCAGCTCTAAGGAAGTTTCACAAGTATTAACTTCAAGCATAACTGAAGTATTCTGAAGTCGCTTGAGTGTTTGTTGATAAAAGAAAAAAGAGTTTATGAGCACCGACTTGGGGTCTAAGGATATGGTACGCCATCATTGGCATCCATACATGTAGCTAAACTCAGACAAAACTTTGATTCCGATAACCCGGAAATACTACAACAAACAATCTCAAAACTCCAAGGGAGTCCCTGGAAGTGCAGTACTCTAATCAAAGGACAGTCAACCGACTTCTGGACACTGACCTAAGATATGGACTACTCAGAAGAGATTCGCTAACTGGAAATCAGTCAGTTAACCAAATAATCTATTGCTATATTGACGGCATAGGTCAAACAATAACATCTCTGATGAAAAATAAGGACAAGTCACTCCGACCACAAACCTATGACGATCCAGGTTGGCGAATTTACTGCATAATCGTTGATGCAGCTTTAAGAGGTTTCACTACTGGGTAAAGTAAATGCTGATGATATCACCTAGACCGCTGAAGGGACTTCCAAGACCAAACCTTAAAGTTTGAATAACACCAGAAAATGATTATCCTCATCTTGAGTGAAATTTGAAACAGAAAACCACTTTATGACTTCAGGTTACCTAACTTAATGGTCAAACTGGAAACTATATTGATGTAATTCTAACAATAGTAGAAAAAAACTATCACAGTAGTAAGCTGATATGTTTGATCAGTATAAGAATGAACTGACTGGTCACCTCTTCCGTTTCATGCATTCTGAAAACTCACGAGAATATTTTTGCATGTCAAAAACTATTCATTTTTTAAAAAGAGAAGAATGTTGTGTGACATAAGCAGCATTTAATTATGACTAGCTGTTCAGGAATCAGTAGCATTTCGCAAAAATAATGATTTCAATTTTAGGATGATTGAAAGTATCCATTCATACTAACTAATAACTAATAAATGTTACTGTAGATTGCAGTTATTATTGATGAAAACTGATCACATCAAGTTTAACTTACAAAAGTATGATCCTAGAATCATTTGGATTGAAATCAGCACTCTGCTGAAACAAAACCATACCCATGGCTGAAAAACACCAGCCACTAGTACAGTACCCAATGGGATGGCAATAGCATGACATATGAAATTTAACATTGCCAAATAGTAGTGCGTTTCATTATCGTTTTTAGTCTGCAAATGAAGTAAGGTATAATATTGGTGATTTCAACCAAAAATATATATGAAACGATAGGTTAAGTTATAAATTGCACAATTAACAAGATCTTATCAAGTAGGCAATACGCTGGACTGCGGAAAAGAACCTAGAAGACTTGGATTTCGTCGATGACTTGTGTCTGAAGTGAACGTATTGGAAAAATGAAGCTTCTTGATGTATCTAGTGTCTAAGGACTGTATGAAAAAGTTTAGAAGGAGAAATATATAATACTAGTATTTAGGAAGAAAAGGTGTTCTACTGCTTATCATGTATATTTAATATAATTGCCTGACTGTAATCTCTAATTTCTGCTAGGAAGTGCAACTGTCTTGTAGTCTAGGGAACAAATTCCATGAGCTAGAAGCTTTAATAGATGAAGTTTAACCGAAAGTCTAACGGAACTAAAAAGTTCAAGGGTGGAGCAGAATTAATTTATTTGAAATATGACCTTTTACTGCTACTCATTACTCTCGCAGCGCAGGGTAGAGGATATTATGTGGTCATTAGCTGCAAAGTCTTTTTATGGGAATCTTAATTTTTCATAGGTATGCTCTGTCACAGTTCAATCATTCTAGCTGATGAATTCATGCTGCGTGTCAGTGACTGAAGTAGAAGAAATCCTTTACTCTTAGTGAAAGATTGTAACACACCTAGCAAATACATAGCTTAAGTGGTCTAATCTATTCAGTAGTAGGCTACTCCCCTGTAATGGAACACGCTGTGATACGCGTTTTGATGAAAATCAAAGATATTTCTTGTTAGTTATAGCTACAAAACATAACGTGAGTGACATTTCCAAACTACATATTCTTATTTCGTTAGCAAATAGGGAACACACAGTTCTTTGACTCATGCTGATAGTTTGTGTTATATTCAGCAACCTGTCCAATGTAGTACAAACATCTGGCAGATGAACATGTGCCCATAGGATAAAATGTATTGGTCGGCTGCCTCGTCAGTTGATATAAGCACATCTATTGATGATATATGTATTCATTTTGAAGATACGCTTAAGACTGTTACATAAAACCACATACCTTTATCAGTTCTACATACACAATAACATTCCTCTTGGAATAACTAGGCAGGCTAAGAAAGCGCACTGTCAGAGGAGAAGATCGTGAGAATTCATAATCTTAAGGATAGATAAGAACCTGATTCAAAGATCTGGATTGACGTTTGAGAAGTAAATCCTCCAGTATTTCCAGTATTTTTCTCGGAAATTGTACTTTTACTTTAGTGGAAGTACTTCAAGGAACGAATGTGTTTCAGCTCTGGTACCACCTGAAGGTTCAACAAAACCGGCTGATAATAACGGTACTGAAAATGGAGCTTTTTCCTAAAACTTCGGCAGTGTTCTCTGTAAACGCCATCCATTGTCAAGAGGCTGTTTTTATCGGTATCACCCCATGAATAAAACTTGTGTACATCACGGAGGTTTTCTAAAGTCCACTACACAACTTCAACCTGGGCAATTTCTATGGTGTATTTAAGCTACATCCCTGAATACCATCAGTACTGGCTTACAGTCCAATAGTGTTTTAACTCATCAATTTCTTAGTCATTTAAAATGTCAGTAAGCCAGTCGAAACCATCCTGGCTTCAAAAAATGAAAAAATTGGTCACGTCAATAAAAATAGTCATAAGTATCTGACGGTTATTAGCTAGTTGGTTTTACTAGTTAGGTTGTTAGCTTTCTGAAAAGATTATATGTGGTACTTTTCTGTCCCATTTCAACGGAAAAAAGCTTTCACCCACTTATGTTTAACAAATATCGTCCTAGGAAAAGACTGGGATGCCAACATAGAAGTGAGTGTTCCTGCTGATGTAGTAAGCCCTGACTTCAGTAAGCCTTTCGATAAGCTCTGCTACCTGGATTTTGAAGGGAAGATGAAAAGCTTTGATACTGATGCTGAGGCTAGATACTAGTCCTCAAGAATTTCTCTGTGAAAGGAGGTATATATTAAGGGTAAGTGGGGTGTTTTCCTCTTAAGATGAATTTGAAGGGTCCAGTGCTTCAAGCCATCAACTTAAACCTGCCTTCCATCCTTCACTTTATAAATGTGTTGCTCAAGTGAACTAAATCTTTCATCTTGATGTAATGTAGACTTTGATAAACTTTAGAGAAGTACACACAGTGATGCTGATAGGCTGCTAGCCCAGGAGAACCTAAATACTTTAGTAGATTATCTCACAAGATGATCCATTGAAATTAAATCCAGCGTCAAGGATGTAGTAGTGCAAACCGAACACAACATTCTGCATGAAGACTTGAACAACGAAGTTCAAAGTAACAGAATAAAAGAAACTAGTCGTCAAAATCAGCTGTCAACTTGAAATATCAGCTTATTTCATAGTTGAAGCTGTCAAAAGGGTCATGAATATTCAGTTCCTTTCAGAGCCTTGATGAGAACGTGGATTATGTACCTAAAATATGTGAGATGTCATTTGAAGTATGGGGTTTAGGCAGCCCTCCAATGACTTATTAGAGCAGACTCAAAGCGTAAAACATAAGATGTTTGAAGCGTTTTTCAAACTCTTCCACCAAGTAAGACTGGATGGAATAGAACCTTTCCAAATGTCTTACAGTAGGATAAGGGATAACCTCATTTCAATGCATGTCTCATGAATAACGATTTATACGTTAACTTATTTATTCATTGTTCTTCTCAAGAACTGTCATCAAAAAAACATACGATAAAACTTAAGTAGGCTCATGTTTACAGCTGAATTCGGACTCACTCGATGCTGGAATCAAACGCCACAACAGTAGGCCATTTAGGGAACAACCTATGCTCATCAGGGTTTGGTTGTTTGTTTACATTGGTTACTTCCAAGTGTGAACAAGCAAGAAACACAGGTTCAGGGTTTAAGATTGACTCCAAATGTTTCACATCAAAATGCAGTGTACTACAGGGATTCATCATTCAGCCAAGTTGTTGAATTGCAAACATGATCGGTAGAATCTTACCAGTAGTCAACAAACAGGGCTTGACAGCTGCATTGGTTACCATTAAGCGACCAATTTACTCAACTCAGTTTTTGAAAGGATGGCTCTTTGACTGAAGAAGTTGATATTTAAATTGGGGTTCTATGCTTCAAATACCATTGCTCCTTTTTCTATTTGACCAAATGGGTGGTACCATACCCCTTTAATTATCAATTGTGACTCATTGTGTAGTACTTAGCGTCTTTACCAGACAAATAGGTTGATTATGCCTACTGTTTTAGTAAACCATGCAGAAGAAGCTGAAGTAAAGGCAACAGAGATATTTTCCAGCATTATAATGAGGTTTGTACATATGTTTTGAGTTGGGTAAGAGAATGTATATGTGCGCTTTAATGTATTTCGAAACTTAAAATTTTACATGTTTTCGACTTTCTAAATTTGAACTCCACAGAATGAAACTTGTAACCAGCTAAAAGTACTGAAGCTGCTACTTCGGTGAATCACTACCGATACTACTTCAATAGTGGGAAGTTTAAAACTGCGTGATATATTTCATTATCCCAATAACTTTATAATAAATTTAACCATATTCACTCACGTCAATGAAAGACAGTATCACTATGCAAATACCTGATGCTGTAAAAATTAGCCCTGTGAGGATAGATAAACGCTGACCAATTGTGGACCATGATTTTCTCTCGAATTTCTTCCTCATCATGAAGCACCAAAACCACTGACTGATAATTGCTGAAGTGAAAAGTAAGCAGACTGAAAGAATAATGACTTTAGCATTGTCAAAACTAGCTTAGCTGATGAAGAACTTCTATCAAGGAGCGACGTTTCACATCACTAACCATTTAAACAAACGTCATTTCTTCGCAAACTTGAATGGGGAGATATTTATTCACGGTCTTTTAGCATACCAGTTTTTCAAGGTAATCCTTGTATCTAAAGTAAGTAGATCTCATACAGTGACGTTTTCTTGGAATCTTCTGAAAACCAGATAATATAATATGGATGTTTTCTCCATACTAATAATTACCAAATTGATTTGAATGCGATGAATGTAGCTGTTAGAATCAAGCTTTCATGTTTTCATCATACTATGAAGTCTCGAGAAAGTAACACTGGTGACAACAAATAAATATAACGTCCGAACGACTTTGAAGGCCACTCTAACAACTGCCAAAATAGCCTATCTGGTTGCCATATTTTAGCTGAGAGGACAACGTTTCATAGTATAGAGAGACGTGATTGGTTGTTTTATCAGTTGCTAGGGTAGCCGTTAAAATCAGACTGACTTTAAGAGTGATTTTTAAGGCCACCCTAGCAACTGATGGAACAACCAATCAAATTTCCTTATTTTATGAAAAGAATTGTTTTCACAGACAAAATAACGCTACGTTATTGCTTATTTTTGCAGTTGTAGAGTGACGTCTAAAGCCTAACGTCTTTAAAGGCCATCTTAACATCGATCATCGTAACCAACCTGGCTCCTTCATTCCGGCTAGAGAGGTAGCTGTTCATAAAATACGGATGTCTAATTGATCGCTTCATTTGTTGCTAGGGTGGCCTTTAAAGTCACTCCAATTTATCTGAAAAAGTACTTTTCCATAAAATAAAGAAATGAGTAGTTGACTATCACATCAGTTGCTAAGGTTGCCTTTATAGTCACACATCATTCTAGACGTTTCAAAAAGTTACATGACCTAGGGAACTTAGGTTAACTTATGTGTTATGCTATGTTGTTTGTGAACTTGTTTGACCTTCAAAAAGCGTTCACAACCAAAAGTTAACTGAAGCATTTCGAAAGTAATAGGTTGATATTTTGTTGAAAAGTCTTCTTTAAAAGTCATTTTTTAGTGTAAATTGTTGAATGTGGTACGAACAATCATTCAGTAATGACTAGCCCATGAAATCAAAAAATGAAAGCAAGATCACATATGACTCTAATTTAGAGTGAATTTAAAGACTCATCTAGTGACAGGTGAAATGACCAATCAGGCTTCCGTATTTCGCCTAGAAAAAGTACCTTTCCATAAAATGGAGAGATGTAATCGGCAGTCTCACCAGTTAATAGTTTAGCTTTTAATTATTATTATTTCTCCCTGGGTTTCCTAGTGGGACATAGGACTTCAGTAGCACATAGCCATTTCACTCTCTTCTCTACAGTCTCTCCAACCTCGCTTCACGACTGCCCACTAGCTTTCATTTCCTCCTCGGATGATCTGCTCCATGCCACCCTCGCCTCAAACGCCAAAATCATCGTCTCCCCTTTGGATTCCACTCGACGATCTGGTCTGGCCTGGCATGTGATGTCCCCAGTCTCCCTTCTGGGGATATGCCCAATCCATCTCTACTTTCTCCTGCATATTGGTTGGACGATGAGTTGTTGGTTGATTCGTCGACAGCCAGAGTGACTTGTTGCTCATTCTTTTTATCCTGGTCATCTGATCTTCAGTATCGAGACAGCGTAGGTGGCAGCTGTTGATGAGTGACTGTAGTTTGTTGGAAATGTTCTTCTTCGTGACACGCCAAGTCTCTTAACAATCAAATAGGAGTACTGACTTTACTGAATTTGTGTTGGAAATTCGGATGTTGTTCACGCTTTATGCTGAGTGTGGTGGAGTGCAGTGCTGTAGATCTGCATACCGTTTTCAGGTTAACGAAGGTCCGTCTTGCTTTTCCGATGCTGGCTGGCTTTGACATTGTCATCTGTGCTTGTGCCGCCTGTAGTTGAAGCGATGGTGCCTAGGTAGGTGGGTAGATAGGTAGGTAATGAGACTACTTTGTTTAGATTTCTCCCGTCTATGGTGATTGGTGCTTGTTGTTGTTGTTGTTGTTGGTGGTGGTGGTGGTGGTGGTTGTGATGGTGGTTGGGTATCTTCATCACCTCTGTCTTCTCTAGGTTCACCTGAAGGAAGTCCTACCTTTTTTCTTCGCTGCCTCACCTCTTCTGTCAACTTGTTAGTTGTTGTCTGTGGATCTTCGAGTTTGTGCGACAAGACGTTAGACATAAATCATCATGGTTGGCGAGTTCCAAATCTTCTCCTGGGGTCTTTTCATCGGTCCAGCCGGTGTATGCCCCTCATCTCGCTCGTCACAGTTTGTTCCATAAAACAGTCGACCACAATCAGGAGGATGATCGTTGATAGAAGGTGGCAGCGTTGTCTTACTCCTGTCTTCACCTCGAATGCATTACTGAGCTTCCCACTGGTAATCACTTGGCATGTAGTATCATGTTGCACATAGCTGCTGTTGAATGATGTTTATAAATGTTTGTGGCACTAATACCGTAGTGTTGAAGCAGCTGCTTGGCAAATTACTTCTCGGTGGACGCTGTCAAAGGCCTCTTCAAATCTGATGAAGTCTGTGTAAGGTAGAGAGTTGACCGGGATTATATGTTCTGTTCTATGGTCGCGTGTAGTGTAGCGTTACAATTTGATTCCCACATGATTTGTTCTTTCTGAGGACAGCCAGCCAGCCAGCCAGCCACCCTGTTCCGGTCGTAATTTAGAATCCAGCGCATCTTTTAGTCTGTCCAGGATAACACAGCTTATCATTTTGCCTGATTTGGAAGGACAGCAGCATGATTCCACGCAAGTTCTTGTTCTTCTTCTGGAGTTTGACTAGGTAGCCCTTCTTCTAGTCAACAGGCTGTCACCTTCCCTTTCTTCCTTCCTTTCTCCCTTCCAAACCTTCTGAAGTAGTGGTGTGAGCATATCCGCTGTTGTCTCTGAGTCTGTTTTCAGTGATTTTGGAGGAATTCCATCTGGTTGTGTTGCTTTCCCGGATTTCAACAACTTTATGGCATCCACGACTTCACTTCTGCTTTTGTCGGAGGGCTTGTGTTCACTGGTAATTCTGTGGCTGGATTGCAGGTGGTAATTGTGGATGAGTTGCAGACGGTGATCGATCCAAGAATATTTTGAAGTGGTCAACCATCGTTTCCTTTGTTTCTCTTCTTTGGTAATTAATTAGGTTTTCTTCACCATCTGTCATTGGTTTCATCGGAGTTGATCTCTTCTCTGCCAGATATTAACCTGTTTATTTTTGATATAGTGTTGTCAGGTCTCTCCTACCTGCAGCCTGTTCTGCTTCACTTGCCAGTGTGTCGTATAAGTGTCGTTTATCTTTGTGCGCACTGCTCTTCACTTCTTTGTCCAATGTAGTGTTATCTAGGTTTTGTTCAGTTCCTCTTTTCGTTGTTCATCCCTGCACTGCTCTGCAATGCACTGGTTCATCTTCTGTTTCACCGTCTTCCTCTCCGTACACAATCAGCTTCCATGTCTTCGTCGAGATCCATTCCTTGTCTTATTTCTTCTTGTTTTTTCCTAACACGGTTATGCAGGTTTTTTTCCAAATCTCTTTCTAAGAATTCCGGTGTTCTTTCACGTAGGTTTTTTCAGGGATATTGCTCAATATCTCCCATTTTAGTCTGATGGCTTTTGAAGTGATCCCAAGTTTAACTACGATGACCAACTCTTTAAAATACGGTGACTTTAAAGGCCACCTTCGAAATTGCCGTAATAACCAATCAGGTTTCTTAATTCCTGCTGGAATGCTGGTTTTTCATAAAATGTAGAAGCCTCATTGGTTATCTCATCAGTTACTAGGATGGCCTTGAAGGTCAATCTCAATTTTTATTTCGAGGTTTGTGGGAATTTTACTGAAATAAAGTTGGCATTCATCATGGACTGACACCAGCTGGAGAACCACCGGATATCTACTTCGTCCTAGTATGGTACTCCTCAGCAGCACGCACCAATGATCTCACTGGGATTCGAACACACTACCTTAAATTTTAAGGTGAATACGTTACCATTGAATCACTAAGTAGGGATGCGGAGGTTCACATATCCCTATTTCCGTCATTTCGCGATGCAATGCATCCTTAATCGAATTCTACCCATCACTTCGATCCCAACATTTAGGAATCTTAATCCCATGGTTATGTGATATTCTTATCGGTACCTGGAGAAATACACATTAAATTTCAGGATATAACTGACTTACTTAGCATTCCATATAAAATCATTGAACTCATAAACATGTATTTTTCTGGTGGATATATGCCGAAATTACTGAAAAAAGAGTATAATTTATTATTACGACAAAATTTCGTTTGGCACCGCAAATAATGAATAAGGTTACTTTTATGATGAATTATTCTAAACTATCTGATACTTAAATAAATTTATTCTGAATATTATCAGCAATGTATGTCAAACAAGCAGACTGCATCTTCCTAGATGATTAGATCTAAGAAGATGTTGAGCATCCCCAAAATTGAAACCGGTAAATGTTTATTTCATTGTGAGAAGTAACACATAGAAGCCAAACCTCTTCATGTTGCATGAATGTTTGTGAAGGACATTCAATAACCTAGAGAGTTATTGACTTGTGGATACTGATAATCTTATTTGCTTTTTCATCATAGGTTGACTTTTGTAATTTTTGCTATCACTTGACCTATGCTATTGATGTACTGTTGGGTTATTGATGTGTTTGACTGATTTATAGTTGATTGATTCCTCCTCAGTAGTCTACGTATCATTTGACTGGCATTTGATTGGAGTTCTGTGCTACCAAGACCTCTTTAGGAGTTTTGAGCATGCTTGTTGTACTATTTTTACGTTGCCGGAATTGAAGTTTTGTTTATTTATCTACATTTATAAGTATCGATAATAGCATAGCATTTAGTTTGACTCCTAGGCTATACTCATTATTTTCTATGGGTTATTTGACAACAGTACTTTCCAAGCTAGTGATGCTGATTGTCTTTGCAATGGTTTTTTCAGATTATATATTTCTTATCTCCTTTAAGTAATAAGCCTGGTCGCATAAGACGTTCATCAGCTATCTGACTGGTCTTTTTGAAACGTTGATGTCAAATAGGTGAAATAATAGGTAAGCAGTTTTTGAGATATACTAGATAGGTAGTGAACTGATTCATTTCATAGATTAAGTAATTGTTTTGATGGGAAATGGTAGCTTGTTCTCAAATACTTGAGACATCACGGTAGTAGTTCACTTATGCTTTGTCTCTGCAGTTTTCAACTCTCATGATCAAAGGATATTTAAGCGAAAACAAGAAGTGATAACCGGATAAACAATATCCTCAGTCGAAGCAGATATATTCATGGATAGTTGGGAGAGTATTGCTCTATCATATTTAAAGCTTCTTCACAATCAAAAACTCACTGGAAGATAAGATCAAATTTACTTTTATATCCGAAGATGAACACTGGAATTGGGTATGTTAGACTGTGAGTGAAATCGAAAATAGGACAGTAGTTTAGGCACAACTTTAAAATGGCACCAAATGCTAATAGATATCTAAACTTTAGATCATCTCAGACGACATCTATAAAGGTAAGTAGCTCAGTTTGATGTTCAGGTGACAGCTGGAATTGCGACCATAAAATCAAAAATTTAAGCTAAGAAATGAAACACAACAGAAATCACTATTTATTGATAAACTCTTAGTTCCTAGTTGTTTTGTTGGATCGAATTGTTCAACCTCCATCAGCACATGAACTCCTAAGCAGATGCCTCCATCTAGCTATAGTGTTAAACATGTCAATTTGGTTGGCTGTGACTAGCAGAGGAATCCACGATATGCGTTTCATCCTATTTGGGACTCGCCAGATGTATCTGCACCCTAATGAGTGTTATTTCCACTGAGACTTGAACCTCGTACCCGTCGCTTGAAACGAAAAGGCATTATCCACTGTACCACAGAGGAACGACAGCCACTTCTTGCACAATGAGTAGTAGTGATTACTATTTATTGATATGCTTGTAATTCTCCGTTGTTTTATTAGATCGAATTGTTCACGCGTCCTGGATTCCTCTGCTAGCCACAACCAAACAAATTAACACAATACAAACTCTACTTTTTAATACCACTTCCAAATTTATTCAGGACTTCAGAATGACAAGTGAAGAGAAAAACCCGAAGTGACCAAAACTGCAACTGTAGCCTGATAAAAAAAGAAATTCAGGGCTTTGTTGGAGTGGTCACATGATGAAGCGACATCAAAATACCTACACAAGATTCTCAAAAAAGGCAGGATGAGTGTGAAATTCAAACTTACATATTCACTCCGAGATGAACTTTATAATCTTAAGGACTGGAATTTTAATCCCATACTGGGACGAAACAGCTGTCAAGTGCTCCCAGGTTTCCTTTGTTCTTTCAACTGATGTCAGATTACGATGAATAACAACTTGAAATATTTCCGAATCCCCACAGCTCCCTCAAAATTCAGTTGAACTGGTGCTCATTGGTGACTAGCTCCAAGAAGTATTCCCGAAGTTCCAATGAGAAGTCGTGACCCATGGAGGCAAAGCCTGATGGTCGTAAGAACAGTTACTCAACGATGACATTGGGTGGTGGTCGCGCTGTATCGTGAGCTAACAGAAGTTGGAAATATGGACCATTGGATTCCGACCCAGTGGCTCAATGGTAACGCGCTGGTCGCGGAACCTGAAGGTCGCGGGTTCGGTCCCTGGCGAGGTCGCGGGTGCACACTGTTGGGGAGACCCATACTAAGATGAAACAGCTGTCCAGTGCTCCCAGGTTTCCTTTGTTCCTCCAACTGATGTCAGCCTACGATAAATAACAACTGGAGATATTTCCAAATCCTCACAACCCCCTCAAAATAACTTTATCTACAAATACTTTGCAGTGACTGTGACGTCTAGTAAAATAGTCAAACTAATCAGTCGGGGTCAGTCATGTTGACAGAAGTTGGGGAGCTAGTCAAGTCTTAATAGATAGACCACACTGAAATGAGTAATTCAGGGGAAAATTTAGCCATGGTTAAGCATAAAATAATACAATCAAACAACTGGGTGAAACAAAAACAATCTTAAGAAAGTGAGGGCGAGTCTGATCAGTGAAACATTGTCCATCAATTCAACACATAATACTTGTTAAAGGAACTATCTATGATCGATTCGAAGTACCTTAAACATCCTAATAACAATGAAATGAAAGAATGAAAAGTCATAGAACTGCAAGAAACCAGGTTATAAATACCTAAAAGTTGGCTCCTTTTTCATGTACATGCATTTCTGAGAAATGTGATATCATTATCTCTAGTTCTAATGATTATTCATCATAAAAGCATGAAACTTTAATATGAAATATAAAACGTATTTGACAGTACCGACAGTGGAATGTAGATATGGCTAACCAAAAGCATAATATTTTAAAAGTGTTCAATGAAGCCATTATATATATATATATATATATATATATATATATATATATATATTTGCATCGATTACCTCACATACGGAACAACTGGTTGCACATGATCATATGAAACGGCAACAAGATACCTAGAAAAAAAGAGAACAAAACTTCTAGACAAAGTCGTTTTCGTTTTTAAAAGATTATCATGGAGATGTCAATCTGTCTAACAAAGGAGTCACACTTTATGAACAATAATGAATTTCATCCTACTTCATATAGTGTGTATTTCAGTGATTCCCTAACTATCTGGTCATTTTAAATATACACTATATATATATATATATATATATATATATATATATATATATATATATATATATATATATATGTTCAGACGATAGAGCTAGAAATTTCAGAAGTCAGTGTAAGCATTCGATAAATCCAGTTCAACAAAATAGTCGAATCTATCAAATTCCATATAATGACTGTGAGATCGAGAACATAAGTCATACTGGCCGGTCGAGGTCAGTTAGATTAAGAGAACATAAGAATTAAGCTAAATACAAATTGACAGACTTCAATAAGATTAGTTATCTAGAAGAAAGCTTCGTGATTGCAATGTATGCATTACTACACAACCATACAATATGGTGGGATGAAACCACCGTACGTAAAGCCAATATAACTAAGTGGAGAGAGAGGGATTGATTGATTACTGAATCTTTGTTCATCGAATCAACACCCCCAGGAATGATGCAACATGTATGCAGGAGATATGGAAAATCTCACTACCAATAAAAACAAAGAATATGTGGTCTCAAGTCTATGAAAATCTGATGTCGAAAATAGTGTGGTTACATAGATATGATTATGAGCAATAATTTAAGCTCGAAGAGTCATCCAGTAATTAATACTGTCTCACTGTGTGTTCTATATCAAATAAATAAATCGAATATGTGTATACATACGTTGTTGAAGTGAATAATACTGGAGGCATCTGACAAATAGGTGAGGTCAGCTGACTTTCCCGAGGTGATGCAATTGTTATGAATCTATTGTAATAAATATTTCACCAACTTAAGTAAACCAAGAGTATTGTATGATTACCTTCACTAGAAAGATGATACGAAATCGTTTAGCTTAACAAGTGTTCATGCTAATTTACTCATTTCTGCAGTACGTTTCACAGTTAAATAAGATTAGAACAGTGAAGTGAGGGAGATATAATTGGTTCCGATCTATATAAACATTTTAAGTTAGGATTCCTTGATTTAAATGGTTAAATTAGAGCAATATTGAAATGAAAATAATAATGTATAATTAAGGAACTTTAAAATCAGCAGCACCAGAATGTGACAGGAAAGGAGAGGTTCTCCACGTACATCTAAAAATGCATTCAGATAAAACTCTAATATGTGTAAATGAGCAGATGTTGTATGCTTCATCACACAAGTATTTTAAATTTTTCCAGCTCTTTCTTTCTTATTTTGGAGATTTTACATAACATGTGACTGTCAGTTAACAAAATTCTTTTTCAGTGATTCATGGCGCAAAGTGTAATGTTACTTTGTGGTATAGAATCTAAAAGTCATCCATCTTTAAGGATTATTCATTCCTATTAGTATTACGGAAGCATTTTGATGACGATTATGCATGTTGACTAGATAAAATAAGAAAGACATTTATAATGGTTATATAAACGGTGAAATCATACGTTTTTCTTTCAGTGAGATCAGCTTTGATTTAAATCAATATCCTTCAGTCTTGTTTTCATGTGTTAGCGTTTTGCAGAATGCGATTATTGCATGTTAGTAGTCAAGGGATTTTTCAAAGTGCGGTAAGTTGTAACAGATTTTACTTAGAACATTTATGAATGACTGACTTGATTGCGGCTAGCGGTGGCATCCAGGAGGTGCGTTTCGTTCTGTTTGCTACTTGTCGACTGTATGTAACTGCATCCCAGTGAGTGTTGTTCCCACTGAGACTCGGACCTCGTACCTATCACATCAAAAGCTCAAGCGTTACACACTAGTGCACTGAGGCAATACACTCACTTCTTGTACAACGGGTATAAATTGCTATTATTTATTGTCATTTGTATTTCTCAGTTGTTATGCTGGAGTGAATTGGTCGACCTCTGTTGGTATGTGGGTTCTTATGCGGGCACCTCCATATTGCCTAAGGGAATGGCTACGAGGTTCGAGACCCAGTGGCAACAACATCACTACATCCTGAATAGGATGTAACCCGCATCCTGCCTTCCACTGATGGCCATCATGTAAACTACAGTACGATGAATATCCGGGCAGTATCTAGTCATTTACATATAAGCCCATATGCTAGTAGAGGTCAATCAATTAGATCCAGTCGAACAACGGTGAACTAACAGTGTTAACAAATAATAATGATCACGAAATTGGGAATACAGGCAATATCGAAGGATCCTTGCAGGAACCCATATATTAATGGAGACCGATGAGTTCAGTCCAACCAACGAAGCGATAATACAAACAACATCATATAAACTGTATCCGTTGTTCAAGAAATGGCTTTGATGACTTAGTGGCCTAGTGGATAACGCTCAGACGTTTGAGGCGACCGGTTCTGATTTCGAATCCTAGTGTGAGCAATATTGCTCATTGGGAGGCAGATATATCCAGGTGACGAGTCCAGGGTAGGACGAAAGGTGCGTCCTGGATTCCACTGCTAACCACTTCTCATCACAAATATCAAAATTACGAAGAAAAACATGAAACTTCAGATAATATTTCTTCTTTTCCTCAGGATATACTTTTACATCATTGAAAGACCATTTATTCAATTTATTTATTCCATCATCTTCTCATTTCACAAATGTTCACTGTGTTTAAGCAGATGTTTCTGAAAATATGTAGCTTTGTATAAATGATTTGATACATCGATTCGATAAATATTTGTCAGGTGTGTTTACGACAATAAAAATCAAGACTACTAGTAACATTTCAAAGTTATAAGTGAAAAGAAACGCCTTAATTAATGAACAGTTGATTCTCAAGAAATATTTCACTTACATTACAGGTAACCAGAACAATGCATGAACTACAGCGAACAGAGGTATTCGGGAAGGATAAAATGTAAACCACGTCATTCTAAGACATAAGTTTGACACACATATAGATCGTTTTGTTCAAACCTTAAAAAAATCATAAAAAAATAGGTGAAAATACTCAGCAAATAATCAATGTCGACAATGAAACTTATCCACTGAAGCGATCATATAACAATCCAATCAGTCATTGAGTTTTAGACTATAGAATTGAGATATTTACGGTACTTAAAACAATTTTCGTAAATTTCCCCTACTCTAATTCAGTTAGATTTGGATTTGGATAAGAATTTATGACCAGACAGCCAGTGTGACTACGATCAAGCGGTAGTAACACGTCATGAATTCATTTGGCAGTCTCCAAAACCCTTGGTGATTGAAGTGAAATAGAAATCTGGTAAACAGTCGGACCTTGTAGCTCAGTTGGTAGAGCATCTAGCCGGAAACCCGGTAGTCGCTGGTTCAAACCCGACCGCTATCCAAAGGTCTATTTTACCTTCATTTATCATCCAGCATAAATCTAGAATGTTCATAGTCAACTATTTTCACAGTATATTACTCTGTGCTATCAATTTTATGTAATTATCTAACGGAAACTTCAACCAAATGTTTGCAAATGACAAAATTTCACCTGTATCTCATTGTGGTAGAAATGTAAAGATTTTGGTAATTTGGTTCTAACTTCGAAATAACCGCACTAAACTCAATCATTTCACAGTTAAACATTATATCTATCACTGGGGATCAGAATCGTAAGTCTTAGACTCGCTTCAATTATTCTATCGTAATTTAGGCCCCATGATTTTTGCGTACCATTCGTTTCGACGTATTGTCTTTATTTACTTTCAGTAACTGGTGCACAGTAGTAGTAACCAGAATGTTCATGAAACTTGACAAAGTAAAGATGTCAGGACAAATGTATATCACGACAATAATAGTCCATCCTGGTAGCTTTTCAACTATTGTTCCTATAAGGTTATACAACATTTAACATGGACTCAAAAGAATCACAAGTTTACTTCATCACAACGAATGGAGACCTATGAGAGATCTTAGTAACACTGAAGCCAGGGAACTTCAGACGTATGCTTTCAGTGCTTTCACATTTCCAGGATTTTCTGTTTTCGATAAAATGGAGTACAAATAGCTTTTTAAGCTTTGGCATGGCAAAGGTGAGCAACTGTTAAATGTATAACGTTGTACTGAGAAAAAGGAGTTTGTTCTGAATTAGAATTTCACTATTAAACACCATATGATAATGCTATCTCAACCGTCTTCAAACTCAAACACAATCAGGGTGGGCTGATTACACATCACCACTATTATCTAAGCTCATTAACAGGTTCAACATTATTGGTTCTTAGTCTGTTCATGATGTCTGAAAGGTTTCTCATATTTGCTTGAAGAGATCAAAGTGAGTATTTTAAGGCACGGATTCTACTGTTTCATGTCAAAATATTATATCACAAAAAATTCTACAGTGTAGAAAAGTGAAATTTCTAATTTATTGAAAAAATAACTTTAGAGCTTATACATGATGGTTGTTTTAAGGAAATTTCGGAAGAATCATAGGCCTGGGAGTTGTATTTGTTTTTATTAGTCATTAACATGTTTCTGCTACCTTTTAGGGGAAGGGTATATCTCGTCAGCCATTCAAAGAATCATAAGGTAGTACCGTAGCTAGCAACGTTACGAATGAAATGTTTGGCAGTAACTGAAATCTCAAAATACTGGACTACATGCATTACTTAGTCACGATTGAATAGTGAATGTAATTTCACGTGAAAACCGAAACTTATGGATTGACTTTGCTTCTGCTGGAATACCAATTCCACCTAAATTGCCCATAAGCAACAAACCTCATTTTAGAGATTTTCGCGGTTACGTTTTGCTTGATGAAAACACTGTACAATTCATCAATAGATTTTCATCAACACTGAAGACTAAACAGCATAAAGTCCGTTCTGAAGCTTATTCAACCAACATTGATCTGTAATGTTCAGATTCATTGAGGACATAAAACAAACAGCTACATTTTGCAATTTTATGAATATAGTTGTTCACTCCTATTGCCTTAATGTTTTGCTTATAAAATCATTTTGGCAAGAAAAATTGACCTGTTGGTTATAAATTACATATGTGTTTGTCTCTTTAGGCTGGAAAGCTAAAAGGGATATAGCTTTTACACTGACTCTGAGAATTTGTTTTCATTTAATCAAAAACTAAAAGGTAGTGGTTCTCTAATCATTTTCAACTGGAAAATTACATATGGACAATTAAATATGCAGTATAAATTGAGTGAAAAATAACATTGTGGCCATCTCGTAATCTTGCAGTGTTACTTATAATTACGTTCATTTTGATACATTTTCCTGATGCCCGTCAACAGCCACGAGACCTGGGTTAAACAGGGATTTCTGATGGTAGATTTTCACCTTCTTAAGATGCTTGTTGTACACTGTTGACTGATTTTCAGTAAAAATCATTCCGTAAATATCATCTCAGTTGAAAAAAGAATATTTGCAGAAGAATCAAAGCTAGCTATTAGTAACACATTATTTTGTGCACACTCAAGTTCCAGTTTTACTGAGTATTACTGACTGAACCAACAGGTCATCAGAGGTAAACTTAGAGGATGGAGTAAGTGTGGGGTGTGAAGGTATGGAGATTAGCAAAAGCATACGCTATTTTCAAGGACTTCATTTCTACATGTAATTGAAGATGTAGGGTCAGATAAGATGAACACCTGCAATATTTTGATATGATGCACCTTCAAGATATACCATTTCCTTTACTCATAACTGTTAAGCACCAAATTAAGATATGAAGATGTTCTCACACTCCAGGTTTTCCATTCTGTTTCTGCAATTCAACCCATTTAGTGGACCAATGTTACACATACATGTTATCAAATAAAAAAAGCAAATATTCAAGGCAAGATTGACACCTTTGGGCAATCCCAAGCTGTTGAATGCCTTTCCCTGTCAATTTCACTTATCATAGTAAAGTTGATTAACACTGCACAATGACACAGTCATAACCATTGACTGTTACAAGGTTGAATAGTTTTCCCATTTACAGTAGTCCAATGTTAATGGAATCCACCTAGATGTTAATGTTTATTGTCGTTAATATGTCAGACTGTGAGACACCTTAATCCTTAATATATAACTTACTCTTGTTATTGAGACAATAATTATTCACCGAATTGAAAGTTAGTGATAAAATACTATTAAGGTGAAACATAGTTAACCCACCTCGTTACTGTTCACTAGTTTCAATGACGAACATATTGTAATTTTTCGATGAAAACACTTTATTTATTCTAATGTTACGTTCAATTTGATCATATGTTCATTTCAAACTGACAAATAATACTGAGACAGATTTTAGGCAGTCATATGTTCTCTGATAGCCAAACAAAGTGTAGTATTTAAATAAAACGTATTAACCGGATGTATATCTATTGATTACAAATGTAAGCTAGCGAAAACAAATAGATCTTCTTATGTACGAATAAATGAAGGAACCACCCTCTTGTTCTTCACAATATTTGCATTTGACCATTTAGTACCACTGAGAAACATGAAAGGAGAACTCTGTATGTATGTCGAATATGACTACTTATGTATCTAGGATATTTAAATGCTGGAGTGATATACAACGTCGTTGACATGTTCACCATTAGTTTCCGTAAGTCACTTCATGAACGTGTAAATCATATATTCATCGTATGTTGTTTATTGACAGTTGTAGCTTCCTGTTGCTATATTTAGTCGAATCAATCGGTCTCTATTGGGAGATGAGTTTCTGTGTAAATGCCTCGATACTGCCTGGATATTCATTATATAGTAGTCCACTCGGTGGTTGGTAGTGGATCTCCGTTCTCAATTTTCATCTTATTTAGAACTGGTTAGCTGGATATACCTGTATCCCAGTGAGTAATACTGTCCCCACTGAGACTCGAACCCACTATAGCCATGAAAATATACAAGTATCAATAAACAACAACTAATGGTCGTTCCACAAGTGATGGCCCACGAGGATAACGGTTTGGTATATGAAGCGGTGAGTACGAGGTTTGAGTAACAGTGAGAACCATTGGAGGCACATGCAACTGACAAGTCCAAAATAGGACGAAATGCACGTCCTGAATTCCACTATCAGCCACCAAGTAGGCTATTAAATTCATCATATTTTAGATACTAACCAGAACAATATTTTCAATGTAAACTATGGGATTAACAAGAAGTATATGGTTGTAATTCTGTGTGTGTTAAAAGCCACCACCAAGGAAATCATTCCAATCTAGTTAATGCCAACTAGTTAGATGTTATTTGTCCAGTAAACTACTAGTTTTCGATGAAGTTTATATGAATACATATCAGGATTTATGAGTTTTGTATTCACTTGGAATCAATTTATTCGCCATTATCATAAGTTTATCGAAGTATTTTTCTAGTGACAGAATTTGTTGCTTATAGTCACTTCAAAGTTTTCGAACAAGGTTTTGGTTCATTTTCAACAGTCTCACGGTTTTTCATTCTTTCTTTCATTGGTAGTAAAGTTTTCCAAATGTCCAAAACTGGTGTTGAGTTATTTCTTTGACATGTGTCAGGTATAGATTCTATAAACAAAACTATCAGTCTCTTTGTCTACTTACCCAAGTTATTTGACAACTTGGCATGTATCACTCTATCCGATCTTATTACTCTACCTTCTGTGACAGTAAGCATGACTGTCACTTGTTTCTTTTCTATACTTCTCATTTTTATTGGGTTCTGTCATTCTTTATGTGAACAGATTTCTATTTTGTACTACTCTAATTGACCCTGGTCGGCTAGTTTGACCAATGTATTTGATCTCTTAGTCATTACATAGAATTCGATTAACCAAATTTTGTTTGATGGGTTCGAAAGGATTCCCCAGCCGAAAAAGTTCCTTCCTTAGCAAGTATATAGTTTTAAGTGCCACTTCAAACACGGCCATCCTAAAGGGCAAATATAAGGTTTCTGATGTCCCTTCGTTATATGGAAAAGTAG